ATTTCGTTTACCAAAAACTCATCGTCTATTTGAAATTCTTGGCAATATTATTGTTTCGAGTACTACTGAAGAATAATATTTTAAATTTTTTTTTAATCTTGATTTCTTTTAGCTTTTCATGATGTTTCCGATCGACAATGGACACCAATGATGGAATCAGCATTTGATGTTATTTTTAAATTAGCTGATGGTCCAATTAAACATATTGAAAATATTATAAAAAAGCTTGCGGTCAAAACTGGTGTGAAACTTGGTGGTGCACTCAAAATTCCACTGTCATCTCAATCACAACCTCTTTCTATTGAATCTATGGATTTTGAAAGTAAAAATTTCAAACAAAACAATCTTTGTTTTTCTATTTATTTTTTTCAATCGATCTGTAGATGCTGGTACTGAAAGTTGTCAAAGTCAAATTTCTCAACAACATCATCATCACCATAATCATTCGCAAACGAATGCAAATTCAGCATTGTTGTTAGTTCGTTTTCTAAATTGTTTAGGAAAGGCAGCTGTTGGCATTATTTATTATGTTGATTGTACGGTTAAAGATGAACTTCTTCGTCGAAAAGAAGCTAAACAATCGGCGGCAGTGAATAAAAAATCGGAACAAAAACCTAGAAAATCAGGAAAAAAACGAACAAAACGTAAAACGCCCGACGAAGATGATGAAAATCAATCGACATCTATGAATGAAACAACGAATAGTGGCTCGAATCGAACTGTGAGATAAAATAATGATTTCAATTGTCTATTATATTGTACTTTTTATTGTACATTTTTTAAGTTGAACTCAACGAATCGAACGGTTGATGAGGAACAAGATGATGAAATGTGTCAAGTATTTGGTGGTGCTGAAGCTGAAGATCCAGTTGATAATGAAGTTGGTTTATATATTCAATCATTATGTGAGAAAAATTCACTTTTGATGCAATACAAAAATGTTCTCGAACAAGTAAATATATAGGATTCTTATATCATCCAAAATAAAACTTCACAGCGATTAACGTAACCCTAATAATTACATAACTAGACACATCTTCGCATGTAATTATCCTAAAATAACTACGCCTATATTAATATAACAATCCGACTAATTAATTACCACAGTACAGCTAAAACCGTATTAAGATCAGACTGCAAGAGCATATCTTCATAAGATATCCTTTTAAGAAATCTTAAAAATATTTTTGTTATTCAATATTTTTTTTCTCACCAAGATTCTTCTTCATCCAAATGACTATCGTGAAGAAGCATTACAATTGAGTGCAACAATTTGTTTATGTAAATTTATGTTATTATCAGTTGAATTATGTGAAACACATGCTAAACTATTGTTTGATTTATTAAAAAATTCAACATTCGAAAGTGTTCGTGTTGCTATTATGGTTTTAATGAACGATTTTTATTTAAAGTAATCTCTTCTGATCTATGGTTTCGAAAAACAAAAACGAAATATTTCTCTTTTAGATATCCTTTAGCATTTGCTGCCTATTCAAATGATGTTTATGGTTGTTTACGTGATCGATCAGATAATGTTCGATTAGCAGCATTAAAAACAATATCAAATTTAATTCTTAAAGAGATGGTTAAAGTAAGTTTGACTTTTATACAAATCAAAAAACTTGAAAAATTCGATTGAATAAATTTATCTTTTTAGCCAAAAGGTCAAATCAGTGAAATAGCATTATGTATCATTGATAAACATTCTCAAATAGCTACATTAGCTACATCGTTTTTTAGTGAATTAGCTAAACGACAACATGGTGAAGCATTATTTAATATTTTACCAGATATTTTTTCGAATTTAGTTGGCGGTGGACTAGATAAAGACCGTGAATTAAGTGAAGATGATTTTAAATCTATCATGGAATTTTTATTTAAATATGTTAGTAAAGAAAAACAAACAGAGAGCTTATCAGAAAAATTAATGCAACGATTTCATATGGCTGAGTAAGAAATTTTGAAAGTATTTAGTAATTTTGTTATTATTATCATCATTATTTCTATTTTAGTAATAATCCACGTTTATGGCGTGATCTTGCTTATATTATGTCGAAATTAACATACAACGAACGAGCATTAAAAGGTTTACTCGATCATTATAATTACTATGCTGATAAATTAGTCGAAGATGCTGTTTATGAATCATTTATAACGATTGTTAATAATGCAAAGAAAAATTTAGGAACTAAACCTGACTTGAAAGTAAAATCATCTTATTTTTGTTGATTGATAATATTTTCATTTGATTTCTAAAGGTTGTACTTGATGAATTATCAACTCGTATTGAACAAGCAAGATCTTCCAATGGAATTTTAATTGCTGTACAACAAGCACAACAGAAAATAAAACAACAGCCAAAAGGTAAGAAAAACTATTAAACACCCATGCATAAATAAATCGCGAAAAATCTGATTAAACTTGGTTTTGCTCAGAAAAATCCATTAAAACAGCTAATGCCCAGATGAATTTCCCGAAAATACTCAATTAAAACAGATTTTCATGTGCACTAATTAATTAAAATCCATTTTAATCAGAAAAATCGACATAATTCATAAGAAAGTGAATCTATTTTAATCAATTCCTTGAATAATCCATTAAAATCTATTTTGTTTGATCTTCTCGATGTGTCATTTCAGAAAATGTTTGTTTCTCGGAATATTGTAAATGTAGTCTCCATCGTAGCTTTGTTATGATTATGAGTTATTGGATTGCGAAAAATTTCTCTGTCGTTACATTATTTAAATGCATGAATCTATATGATTTTTTTATAATGTTTGTGTTCTGATTAGAAAAGAAGTTTTTTCAAAGAGTTGAATGTATTTTTTGCAGCTGATATGAAATAATCTACGAAGAATGAGAAAGGTTAGGAAAACGGACACAATGGTTCATGTTGTCGGACGATCGGAAGTAAACAAATTTCTCTATCAACTCAGCTACCTCAATGGGACAGACTTTTTCTGTAGAATCGTCTGCATGTCTGATGTGTTCGTTCTTGATGGTCTTGCTATTTAAGCTTGTAGTGCGTAGAAGAGAATTTGTTTTTTCAAGATAATTGACCAACACAAGAGAGTGACTCAGCGCGACGGCTCTATGGTTTTTAGCAATTGTTAATTATTTCCAGTAATTTTTTGTATTTCCTTTCTTGAGTTTCAGTCTATGGGACGATACCTACTCTATTAATCAGTAGAATCTCTTGCCAAATATTTCAGCTCAAGAAAAAATTCATTTGATTCACAATGCTTTTTAATCATAAAAATTATTGATTTTTATTAGCTGCTCGTGGTGGTGGAGCGAAGAAAGGTAAACAAGCACCAAGCCGTAGTAAAGCCAAAGTGACGCAATGTAAGATTATTTTCTTTGTTTTTTGATGAAAAAGGCAACATGGAAGTTTATTTTGATTTTTAGCCGACGCCGATGATGATGATGATGATGATGATGAGGATTTAAAAGAAAATAATGACGACGATGAAAATGATTTTAAACGACCCGCAAAAAAAGAACCAAAAGTACAAGCAACCAGTCGATCGAAACGTGGTGCAGCCGTAGCTGCACGTAAAAAAGCAGCTGTAGTAGCGAGTGACGATGATGAAGATGAAGATTAACTTGCTTTTTTTCTCTTGGTATTACATTCAATTGTATATATTCACTTGGCTATTATTTTTTTCTTTTGAAATTATTCTTTCTCTGTCTCCTTCTCTTAATATCCTTTATTAGAGGACTTTGTTATGCATAATACTTTCATTTATTTTGCCTTTGTGTTTCATTTTGGAGAAAATAATAAAGGCGTTTTTTGTCAGAATATTGCAAATAGAAGACGTTTTGATGAAATCGATTTCTTACTTTTCAACCAGCAAGAAATATTTCTATATTCATAAGAAAGAAAAAAATATCTATTCACTTATTCGATTACAAAGCTGTAGGAAAATCTACATAGAAATCATAGTTTTATTTTTTTTTTATGTGAGCAATCATTATCATCTAATCACACTCAAACATCCAACTAAATATTCGAACTAAAAAAAGTAGCATATAAACCTCTTGCATCATAAATTTGAAAATCAATTCAGGCAATAAAAGAACACTAGACTTATTTCACGAAGTGTATTCCTATTTTCTAAGATTCAAGAAAAGATATCTATCTTAGTAATTAAACGCAATGCATTTATTTCACTGGCTATCGATAGATGAATTCGCCGGCAATTACAAAATGATTGACTTCTGCCATCTGTAGTTGTCTGCATGATAGATTTTATCAACAACTACTACTATCCTATCTAGATACTATATTCTCCGCAACGCCTATATAGTATTGACTTTTACAAAAGTGTTATATAGATTTTTGTCTATGTTTGACCATTATTATTCTGTTAGTCTATCTTTTATTTATTAACAATTGAATATCGACTCGTCCTACATCTATACAATCACGATACTCATCAAATAAATATATCATAGATGATTTGAAGAAAGCATAGAATAGTTTTCTATGCAGCCATGAGTTATTTATGGCATTATTTAGTTGTTTTCAAATAAAGACAATTGATTATGACTATTGAAGATCGCTTCATGTTATGATATCGTATCATTTCAAAAATCAAAAGATAAGACAATTGAGAATAGTTCTTTTTTGTAGTCATGTTAACAAATCGAAACGGGAATATCAATAATTTTGTAAATACAGTATTAAAAAAGTATCTATTTCGCTGCGTTTGTACAATACTCTCGCTATATTCATGCTGTAAAAGAACGCTCGTTTAGTGAAAAGTTTTATGCTCAAAGAAAAAAATATAATAAAATTCTTATCTTATATCATTGTTATTTTAGTGAGTAATCCTAACAAATACACTTGGCGAATGTTCTATTTTTGACAGCTGCATCATCATAACAAACATTACAAACAATTAAGTATAAAAAGGCCTACAAAATACTGCTAAATTGATACCAGTAACACGTGAAAAATAAGTAATAAAATTACTTCATCATAATATTTTGCTAGAATGCAATCAAATTCGGATAAACAAGGTTATAATCAACAAGATAACAGCTATAATTTCGAAGGTGCTTATCAGTAAGTAAATTCATCTGGAGATAAATATGACATTTTCTCTATCGGTTCAATAATAATTATCTATTTTGTTTTAAAGATCATATCAAGGAACGCCGCCACCACCACCTTATTCAGTAAATCTTCAACAAACACTTGATGGAACTGCACATACAACATCAAACAAATCAGATTTTGATCGAACACCGTTATATCAACAACAGAGTGCTGCTATCACTCCAGTCAATCGACCATTTTGGAATAATAATTTACGAGTACCAATAACAACGAATTTAAGAAATTTTTTGATTATTTCTGGTTTCTTTTATGCTCTATGGGGTACAATAGCATTCAGTTTGCAAACTGCTATTGTTGTCAATTCTTATTCAACATATTATAATGGTTTTTGGACAGGTATCTTTTTTATTGTTGCAGGCATTCTTATGACGATTATTGGATTTCAATCATCATATCCGATACTTCGCTTATTACGATTTTATATTGTTAACTTGACACTTTGTGCATTCGCTTTTAGTTTTTCTATGATTAATTACGCAATATCAACTCGATGTACTTCAAGAACTTCACGTTATTGTGATGATAATTTAGCAAGTAATTTAAAATTTATGCTTATGATTACATTCAATATTGGTCTTATACATACTGTAGTAAATATGATAGTAATTTCTAAGGAACATAAAAAAATGTTAACACAATTCAGTTCAAATATTTTAATTTAATAATAGTTTTTTTGGAAAGAGAAAATAAAAAAATAAAGAATTCACTATGAACATATTTATTTAAATAAAACATAAAATAAATGCGCTCTTCTCTGTTTCGTTCTTGTTTCCAATAAATCTGACGTCACCGGAATCGTCTACATTCTTAAAAAAAAGTAACCGGAGAAAATTCGATTATTAATAATCACTGGGCTTTTGTATCACTGAGAAGAGTTGATGATGAACTTTGCCGTTTGAATTTCACGACAGCATCACCTGTTGATCGTGCAAGTTGTTGAGAATTTGCATTATTTCCACCTGTTGGTACCATATTTATTGTTGGTTGTTGAACACCTGATTCAAATAATTGCTTTTGTTTTGCTTCATAGTCCAAAATATACTTTGGAAATATTGAACGTTCATCAAATGCAGATTTTAAATCTAAGAGAAAAAAGAAAAATTGCATTTGAAAACTGAAACTCAATATTGTTTTTTTTACTTTCACCAATCATGGTTGGTAATGGACGTCGTCGATTTCCTTCGCCTGCATTATTTGCTTGCCATATATAAGTTGTATCATGATAATTACTTTTTTTCTGATCAGGTATTGGTGGTGGTTCATATGTGTCAAGAGCCTTTTTCAACAACACAAAATTCTTTTCAAAACAACAAACAATAGAATAAAATAAATAAAACTTACGCCATATGCTCCACCAGGTGCTAAACCTGTTTTTTCCCATAATAGAAAATCTTTTTTAGTAATTAAACTTGGTTGATTTCGTTGTCTTCGATTGGTTCGTTTTTCTTGAAATGTAACACCTTTTAAATAAAAACATCTTCTAAACTAACGGAAAAGAAAAAGAAATTTATTCGATTTACCAATCGAAGTTGATTCCCAAACATTCGATCGTCTTGTTAACATTTCTTCGTCTGTTATCGATGACATAGTATCAAGATCTTGACTTATTATTGTGTGAGAATCTTCATCATTTTGTTGAGAATAATCATCACTTTTACTAAGATGTGCTTGTGAATTGCTATCACTTAGTTTTGATAAATCCATATCTAAATGCCATTGATTGGGTTGTCCAAATGTACCATACGCATTTCCATGTATATCCGATAATACAACACTACAATCAGATGATGATGTTAATATGAACATTCGTTCATCTTTTTCTAAGAAATCAATGCATGTTATCGAATCGGAATGTGAAGCGAATTCCGTAAGTAAAGCTAATTTTGAATCAAACAATCGTATCATTAAAAGAAAATAGACTTCGAATTTCTACATACGTGGTAAACGTTTTTCAATAGTTCCCGATTCAGATTGAAGACAATATTGTTCTATATCCCATAATTTAACAACACCATTAACATCACCAGTTGCTAAATATTTATTATGAACATCAATTTCCATAATAATACTTGAAACTAAGAATAGTAAAATATAGAATCAATTTTTATATTCAATGACAGATATACCATCGGTATGTGCTTGACATTCAGCTATAAGTTTTCCTGTATGCACATTCCAAAAGCGAACAAAGCCTATCCCACCACATGACACTAAATTAGCGCCTGTTGCATGAGTATTTACGCTCGATGCCATACGTTTATCAAAGAATTTTAACATTGAAATAGCAAAATCAGCAGCATTGTCTTGTAACTGATTAATAAAGCATAAGGAATAGCGGAGAGCAGCAAAAGCAAAAAATCGAATAAAAAATCTTTGCTTACTTTTGATTGGGAAAAATTCGGATTACGTTTTCGTTGATCAAGACGACGAACAAACAATTCCGACGATGTATTCCATATACAGATTTCACCATCGGTACTACCCGATGCAAGTAACTGAGGAAAATATGCTGTTACCGCCATGCATACTATGTCATCATCATGTCCCTAGTTTAAAATAGTTCATATTTATGATTGAACGAATAAAAATAGACATATTTACTTCTGTTTTTTCTTTTTCTCCATTCCATTCTGTTGGAAGATTGGGACGTCCTTCAACTTGTTGTAAATCACGAAAAACAGTCAAATATCTACAATGAATTTTATTATAGAATATATCTAATTCTCTTTTTTTGCTTTCTATTTTGTTTTACTTGCTCCATCCAACAGCAACGATACGTCGTTTCAATGCATCAATTTGTGTTATTTCTACTGCCGTACCTCTACCTGCGTCTAACATTTGTAAAATTCGTCCGTTATAATTCCAAATCTAAATTAATATTGAACATTGTTAATGGTTGAAACAAATAAAGACATTTACTCGAATTTTTCCATCACTTCCACCTGTATAGAATTTTTCACCGAATTCATCAAAACCTAAACAAGTTGTATCGAAAATGTCTGTTGCATTTTGTTCACTAAATCGTTTCGTTTTTTGTCCTTCCAATGACCAAAAACTAACATCACCACCTTGACAAACGACCATGACCTTTAATCATATATAAAAAAAATCATTCAAAAGAAGTTTTTTTGCTACAAAAATAACTGATTAAATACTTGTTTTTGTTTAAGGAGATATCGTGCTGCAACAATTGCTCGATCATGAGTCATAATACGATTTTTTAATTCAGGTTTTATTTCTAACATGCATATATTCGTACGAAATGATGCAAATAAACGACTTCGTGAATCATCGAACCAACAAAAAATGTCCACTAGAATAAAATTATATTCTTTCTTAGCAGTTCTAAATTTTGTTTTTAGTAGAATATCTGAAAATTTGAAGTGACTGTATTCAATTAATTAGACCGATTGTGAATATCAGCTATGTTACTAACAGAAATTTATTCAATATAAATGCTCAAGAGGACAATGAGCTTCTGAAGATCGGTTCGATCTTTCTGACGAAGAAAAACAATTCTATTTTCTTGTTTGATATTTCTATATTCAACATAATAAAAGTATTCACAGGCAGAACCTTAGAAAAAAGGATGTCTCTCCATATTTAGTTTAATAGATCAACATCAACAGAAAATAGTTTCATAAAGATAATATCGATAATTATAAAAGAAGGAAAAAATATTGAATCCACAAAAGTATATCGATTGTTAGAAAATTGATGTTAAGAATTACATGTAATTGTAGCTATTTTTGAGAGGCTTGATTGGATGGATATACAGTATGTTTTCTTTATTTGTATGAACAAATTTAAAAGGACAGATTGACTTCGTTTGTCGATTAGCTTCTATTCGTATTCTACAATTAGTAATTGCTTTAATTGTTGATATGCTTTGTGCATATCAAATTTCATTTTAGTTCGCTCATTCATAGAAATCATGAGTATATTTATAATGAATCACAATGAATTACTATCAGTTTCGTTTACATTTCTGTTTTCTTTCATCGTTTGCATTTCGAACAACTAATAAAAAGTAAAAATATAGATAATGATGCGAATCTTTCTCTTATTTATATTGATTGGATTGGCATCCACAACTGAACATTGGTTTATATTCGATCTCTATCAATTTCCAGGATTTTATACACCACTTTTTACATTAATCTCGTCGTCAAATAATCAAAGTGTTCAACAAGAACAAACATATCTTTCATTTGCTCTATCCACTTATGATCGTTCTATTGTTGTTGATATAAGTATGAGACATCATAATGGAACAATCAAACAAAAAGAATCGCCGATTCAGTTAAAGATTCAACGTGCTGATTTAGTATTTAATACAATAAATCATATGATTTTTGTTGTTATTCGAAATCAAACGATACTTGAAACCTATGTGAATTGTAAACTGATTGATTTATATTTACTTTATTCATCAGTTCTAATTAATGAATATGATCATGAAACTGTATTCTATAAAATAGAAAATATTACTGACAATATTGAACATTATGAAGTTACAGCAAACAATGAAACTACTGAAAAAGAAATATTTGAGATATTTTCTTGTAAAAAAACCAATACAACCATGACTTTCGATGAGAAAACAACATCCAAAATCGAACGACCGTTAATTCGTAAAATGCAACATATAATTGAAAAAGTTCAACGACGTAAATTACGGTCAAAGTAATTAGAAAAGAAAGAGAAAAAAATCAGTCCTTATATGCATCTTTCTTATTGTTTAGACGTCAACAAAATCAATCGAATTCTATGACATACTCAGCGGATTCATTTACAATTGTTTATAAACCTAATATTGATAAAAACAATATCGATGGTATAAATTTTCACACAATTTTCAATATATCAACATTACAATTTCATATTCAATACTATCCAAATGAACATCTTTTTAAAATTCAATTCAACAGTGACAATGACACTGAATTTATACTATATGCTGAGAAATCAACTGATCGTATAGTCTCGTTGAATAGTAGTCTTGCTATATTTTTACATATAACATCAACTATGATAACATGTTATGTTAATTGCGAATTTATCGATCAAGAATTCATTATTGATTCAGTTTACATAGAAAATATAATGCGACAAATTATGAATAATAATCAATATGAATACAATCGTCAATCAACGTTAATTTTATTTAATAAAACAATTGATGAAATAGCTGAGATGTTCTTTTGTGTAAAATTAGACAAAACGAATCAAGATTTATTACCGGATAAATATGCTATTAGGTTAAGTATCGATGTCATATATAAATCCAAAGTAGATTTTTTCCGACTATGATTTGTAACTCAAATTAAAACAAAGAAGTTCTCTATCGAGCGTATTTCATACTATAATTTCAGAATTAAACAATTGAAACGGAGGTTGCTATGAAAAAAAGAATTATTTTTACAAGTAACATTTTAAAAGATTCCGAATACAATGAGATATCGTTGAATTTCTTAAGATTTTCATTGAAATATTTATAAGTATAGCATATCGCCTATTATGTTTCTAATTGTTCAAACGACAACTTCTAGGAAACACGGACAATTTCTCATTTTGTTTAAAAAGCAAATATTCTTTAATAGGATATTTATATACGATCGATAAACTTTCGATGTAAAATAGATATGCTGGAGAATTTCACTAACAATGCAAATAATTGATTATCTTCGAGTTCTAGAATTGAAATCATTAAAAACATAGACCAAAGTATGTGAATCTTTTTTTTCTATCTATCTTCTAGAAAATTTGCCAATGCTCTTGATGTACTTGTTAATAATCTTGATAATCCAATGAACAATTATCACAATGATAAAATTAATTCAAAAACACTTTCATCATCACCAACAACACAAAGTATTTCAGCCATAAATATTCCTTTAATAAATGGATTTGGAAGTCTCCGAGTACTTCCATCAAATCCAAATATTGAAAAATCAACAATATCACATGAACTAGTCGATTATGATAAATCATGTTCGATCGATGAAAATTGCGATCGAAATAAATCTTCAATGATATGTCAATCAAACCATTGTATCTGTCCGAAACGTTTATTCTGGTCAGCACAATTACATCGTTGTATTATATGTCATGATTTATTAATTGGTAATCGTTGTTTTCGTTTATCAAATCATAAATCAACATGGTATGAAGCAAATGATTATTGTCAAAATGATAATATAAACGATGATGAACAAGAATATATCATGAGATTAGCATCAAATCTTAATCATGCCGATATTCAATATTTGAAACAAAGCTTCTTGCACAATCATAATCATGAACACAACAATTATATGTATTGGATTGGTGCGACAGGTGATTTTACTCAGAAAACTTCATACCCATACAATTATCGAACGAAACGACACATCCCAACAACGATATTTCGTTGGTACGATAATCATGAAGTAGCAAAAATTAATCTTCACGATATTTGGTGTTCACAAACCGATTATATGCATTTAACAACAATAAATAATAATGAACTATGCGTTAGTATTGCTTCATGTGGTTTATATGCAGATGATTGTCACAGAAATTATCGATTTATATGTGAAGCTATTTAAATTTTTTTAGCGTGTGTGTTTCTTTTTGTAGTTAAAAAAACGAAATAAAGAGTAGGATCTTTTTGCTTCTTTTACCTTCAGGTCCACGTGGAAATATGTTTGATAAACGTTGAAGACATATTTGCAATTGAACATCCCATATACGTAATATTTTATCTTTTGAGAAACTTAATAGTTGACCACGACTTGGAATAAATTGAACGTAGAGAACAGAGCGCATATGTCCACGAAGAATCTTGAAGAAAGAAAAAAAATTCAGCGATTGTTTTTATTATTATTATTATTCAAAGAAATTTTCTATTACTCCATTAGGTTTTGATAAAACAAATGGATTCCATAAGCTAACTTGATAGTTGACACCAGCAGTTGCTAAAATAAAAATTGATTCATTATCAACTGAAAGAATGGTTGGTGGAGCTTTAGAATTTTCTGAAATTCTTTTTTTTTTGGGTTTAGCTTACTGAATTTGATACTGAACATGTACTCTATCGGGAATGAAATTCATGAGAAATAGTATAACTTTGATATAGCTTTTACAGCTTTGGTATATTGTTATAACATTGCTTCCGTACTTTTCCTAATGAGTGGTCGAATTCAATTTTCTTTAGTAAATAGTAAAAGAAAACAGAAAAAAACTCTTTAGGAAGCCAATTCAAATATCAAATGTAATTCAAATTCACCCTATGACGATAAAATCAAGAAAAAGTGAAAGCTGTTCATGATGACGAGTTAGTGATAGCTGATTTAATTAAATTCAAACTGAGAAATGAAACATCTTCAAAGTCATTAAAAGAATGAGCTTCAATTTAAAGTGTCATCTACACATATCTTTAACCTTTCTGAAAATTTAAACTGAAATGAATATATTTTTCTCGAGATACTTAAATTACAAGTAGATTCGATTACTGCACCTTCCGATGCCAAACCAGCTGCTTGTCGACAAATCAAATTAAATATCTCAAGGAAAATAATTTTTTCATGTTCTGTTGAATCTTTCAGAACTATTCGTTGAATTTTTAGTTGTCGCATTTTTGTTATTTTATTAATATCAGAAATACTTTTCTTTCAATCAAACTTTTACTAAAACTGGCACCGCGAAGTTAAAATTCAGAACTTACGAAAATATTTCACTTACCAATTAAATTAAAATTTCTTGAATAATCAAAGGAATTAAGTCCTTGATTAATTTCAACCACATTTCTAAAATATATATTATGGAAAACGTTTTCTTTTATTTTGTCTTATTCTTAACACATACCTTACTTCACGTAACTGTCGAATACGAACTGAATAATTGCTAAAAAACACAAGTTATCAAATAATTAAATTTTATCTTCAATAAAAACACTAAAACGAAAAAGACCCGTATTGTTAGACCGATTTCAAACAAAAAATGGAAATCTTTTTGATGTTAGTGGATGTGACTATCGATAATCGTCAGTGTACGAAATATGTCAGTTTTTTTTTCTCTCTCTCTCTCTCTCTATGAACAATATACCTTCGGTCACGGCCGCATTCAGAACTAAAATAATTGATGTATTATATCAATAATTGTCATCAAGTATTCGCTGAATATTTTCTCATTTTTTTTTCAAAAGAAAATAATTTTCGCTTACACTCGTACTGTTAAGCCTGATTTGTCCATCCAACCAAATACTAAAGCTGTTTTCGTATTTGTTGAACATGAAATGAAGCATTCAAGATGATCAGCATATTTAACTAGAAAAAAATTATTTTCTTTTTAATCGAATTTTTCTAAATCAAACTTTGTCGAGTCCATTCTGCATGTGCATGATATGTCAAATAAGAAGCATTTTTATAAATTCCATTTTCTATATCTTCTAATTGAACTCTTGTATATGCTGAAAGAAAATCCGCCCAAGTCAATACATTGTCGATTAGAACAAAACGTACCCGCATTGTTTGTTTGCTGTGGTGGTCGCTCAAAAAGTGCAATTATCGCTGAATTGAATAAAATTGCATGAACATCACCTTTTACATCACCCCAACTCAATATCGCATCATTTGGATTTTCCGTATCAGACCTAAATCAGAATTTCAACGTAGATATACATTCACTTTTTTCAGTAACATTTCTTTCACTCTATTTTTAGATCTACTATAATCGCGTTAAGAATGCTTTCGTTTAGCAAAAGCTTCTAATAAATTGATTCAATTCCATTGTTCAAATTTACTTTATATCTACGTCTAATTGAACTATTTATGAAAAAATATTCTGTTGTTCTCACCAATAATCCAAACAATACGGTGTAGAATCAATACCAACAATGCGATACGCTAAACTTAACTCAAGTTTCGACGTCATATCATAGATAACTAAAAGAAGAGTCAAAAAAATAATTTATTTTTAAAATGAAGCAAATCCTTATTACTTAATTCTTTTGACGTATAAGCAACAGCAACTTTATTAACATTTGTCATTAATACAAAATCAGTGATCCATAAATCGCGTATTTTACAACTTTCTGTTCCAGCTTTGAACGTTTTATACAATTGCATTTCATCATTATAAATGCAAACAGTTCCTTCCTGTATAATTTTTTTGTGAAAAAAAGGCAACCATTTTTATGTCCAATGATTTTTTTTTACATACTTTACTAATTGATATATAGCGATTGAAACTATCCATATGTTGAATGCGTTTAACTGAATCTCGATGAGCACTAAAGAGAGTTTATTGGTAGAAGAAGAAATATTAAAAATTTTCGAATTACTTCATTAGATTCTTTCCACTTTTCCAATTTGGTACTGATGATGCTTTTTCACGATCATCGTTATCGTATAATTTTAACATTAAATATGTTGCTAATTTATCCCTATGAAGAATATTGAATTGAAAACAAAATCTCAGATATAAACATATGTTCTAACCATGAAATAACACCTTCTTTAGTTACATCCACACATTCAAATAATTCTTCATACTGAACAAAATTGAAAATGAGGTTACAAAGAAAATAATAATCATAATAATAATGAAGTTAACATACATCTCTATCACTTCCACGATTTAATGTATGACGTAGAAATCGAATAAAACTTTCTTTATCAAGAACTTTACTTTCGGACTAAATTAATGACATAAAATAATTCTATTTAAATTATCTTTTTAAAATTCAACATACAAATCCTTGTGTGCGTAGTTTCTCAAGCTGATCGGTTCCTAATAGATTTTCAAGTTCAATTCGATCCTCTCTGGTATCTTCATGACTAGATAAAATTCAAAATTCTCATCAGTATATATATATCTATGTCTATATGTTATATTCTATACTTTGAAAAAGAACTTATACTCTGTTGATTATATAATCGTTTGAATTGATTAATGGCAGCTACATTTTTTAAGCCAGTCGATGAAGCTACCGATAAACGAGGTTTATCACCCATATTGTTCTGTGTTCACCGGTTATAATAACATAGTTTTTGTGTTTTGCTCTATATGACCTTCGCCATTAAAAGTTTCTATCGTCATGGCAACTTGTTCTACAATCTATAGAAATTTAATTCTCAGGATAATTCAATGTTAAAACTTCTGGTTTATTGAGTTAATGAACTATGTTAATTTTCTTAAAAACATAATAAAACTTTCTTATATTTTTTTGGTGAGGTCGCTAAAGTCATTCGTATAGAGGCTGGAGGAACGGAGGCGTTTATCCAATGACCACGGATTGGTTTACTTTTCACAATAGAGTTTATTGCCCTCGTACGATAGTTCACATTCGATTTATTCTTATTTTCAGTGCGATGCAGTTACATACACACATTGTCTATGTTAACGGTTGAACACTAGAAAAATTTCAGTTTGTACTTGAATCGAATTTCACAATCATGAACAATGTTTAGGTAATTATTGGTAAGAGAATCTTTCTTTTAAAACAGCTATCCAATTGTATCTTCTGCCATAATGATGAATCTACATGCACCACTCTGATCTTGATAAGATTTGAGGATAATTTATTTCCAAAAAAATCTGAAGGCAGAAGATATATATATACATATTTGTTTTTGAAAAACAGTTCTATGATGAATCCAACGACGGTCTTCAGATAAAAGATGATCGAAGAAAACGAATTTTTAACCCATTGTAACTGAGAACTGTAAAAACGTTATTGTTTAGTACTAGTAACTTATGTTGAAATATTCGTTAGTTTGTGAGATTTTATTTACAATAGTTAGATCTGAACGTGCGTAAAAAGTTTAATCGCAAAGTGAAATTAAAATTGAACTGAACATCAGTGTTTTTAACGATTGTGTACTCCAGCAGAGCAAAGTGTACGTACACTCTGTTTTTTGAGAATACACTTTGTTTTCCTATGAAGTACACGGAAAATAAATTTTTGACTTAGCAAGGTGTACGCGTACACTGATTCGAAATCCTATTAAAAATACTGCTGAACATATTCCTATCCGCGTGCACATCTAGTAGAATTTGGCATACTTAAATGTATGTCAGATGTGGATAAATGTGCTATAGAAAAAGTTTTATGGTCTGAAAATAAGCATTGAAATTAGTTTTATATTTGATTTCAAATTTTTTTCGGTTCAACAGTTTCTTTTCTCAAATTAATTTTATTGATCTAATTCGTTTTTTTTTCTAATAATTTTAGCTGAGCAGGGTCAGAATATCATCCAATGATGTTTGTTTGATATTGTAAAATGATGATAACCAATCGACTTGTTCTGTGGTTGAGGCTCATTCTTTTCAACACATAAATACAACAAAGAATATGATTGGTTAACATGGGCATAGGAACGAAATGAAAGTATTCGATTCAAACAGGTGCGTATCAGCTCTACTGAGAAATACTATCTTATCGGTTGACAATGATAAGCTCGAGATAAATAATTACCTGATGCTTACTTGAACTCGATCGGAGCTTAGAGAGTTGCGTAGAAATTGAATGCGATGATCTGATGTGCTTGAGAAATTTAAGAAAATTGAAGTACTTCATAATATTAAATAGTTATGATCTTTTTTAAGTTAAGGTTTTAAAAATGTGGGATGCACATTGTTCAATTACGGCGAGTTATTTATAGATCAACGATAGCATTAGTGGAAGTTTTTTTTTTATAACAGCTCTATGATGAATCAAACGACGGTCTTCAGAAAAGAATGATCGAAAAAAACGATTATTAAACCCATTTTAACTGAGATCTGTTATGTATCTAAAAATAGTTGAAATTAAAGTTTTTTTGCCGTGATTCGTTGCATACAAACTATACAGGTGAAGTTACTCGTGAAAATTATATGTAGATTTCTCTATAGAATATTGATTACATACGTTTTAAGCGCAAACTTCTAAAACCATTCCAACTTAAATTCTTATGTTCGAATAGGCTTCGCTTGTTTGCAATAGTAATTGACGGATTATTACCGGGCGAGCTCTATGCTGAAATGAAACTACGCCTAAATATAATTTGTACAAATCTTTCTTATGAACTATTTCCTTCTTAACATTCGATGTTAGATCAACGATGTAACCATAATCAGTAAGCTAGAAATTCGTAAAAAAGCAAACTATCTGTCTCATTACACAGACTAATTTTTGTGCAGTCGTTAAATACGAATATGAACATATTCATTTTTTTCTAACTACCGATTTGAGTGTCATTTTTCATGAAAGCTTCGCTCGTTTGTAGTGCATGCACCAACTTTAAAATGAGATGATGATTTAGTACAGAAGGCGAATACATGTGTATAAGTTTGTTGAGATAAAATATTGGATAAGTGTTAGAAAATAAATAGATAGACGATTATTTATTAGAATAGAAAAAGCGAAAATAAATGCATCATTGTGATAATCATAGTAGTGATTAGTAATTAATGCAACATCATCATTTTTGTCTTAATTCTGTACAATTTTATTCGAAAAAAAAAAGATTAAAAAAAATTAAAATTCACTCAATTTTAACTAATTCAATATCAACTTCTTCTGCTAATGGTAGATCTGTATTATTTGCATATAGTAATTGATCGTTTCTTTCAATAGTTGCTGATAGAGTGATACCACCAGGTATGGATTTAATTTGATCGAATTCCATATGTGCTTTTTTTGGATCATATAAACATCGATAAATAATCGGCATTTTGTGTCCTTGTTCTAAACGGATAGTAATTGAGCCTAAGACAATACATTCTGCATCGTATCGAAGTGTATCACGAACAGAAATACAGAGAATTTCATCGCCACGAAAATAGGCTTTTTCACCTTTGATTTTAATTTGACCATGAACAGAATTTTTGACTGGTGTCGCCATTGCAGTATCGTAATAAATGAAAGTTATGTGTATGTTGTTGTTTTCTTTGTTTTGTTAAAGAGAAAAATGAGCAGTCAACGTCAATAATGGAAGAAAAAGAAGTTCTTGCGTTTCAAGGTCAAAAAAGTCTTCTCACTTTTCTTTTTAAAAATAATAAAACAAACGTGTTGTGATAATTGCTACATGAACTATTTCTTTATGAAATACGATGTGAATGACGAACAATTACAATGTAAACAAGTATTGAGTACATGAAAATAAGATAGAAGAATAAAGAATGAAACTTTCTTGTTTAACATGTGTCAGAAAACGCAAAGCTTATCATTTTATTGTAATAGAAAAGAGGTTTTTTTATTATTTGAAATAGCGAAATGAATTGTTAAGAATTTTTTTTAATATGCAAATTACATGTTCTTTTGTTGTTTAGATAAATGATGAATATTCATATCATGACCTTGTCTTTCAATTGTATGGATACAAATGAAATGATTTGTTGATTTTATTATTCATTTCATTGTGTAAGTTAGATACTTTTCGATGAAAACAAATGGTTCATTTATTTTAAGAATGGAAATAAATATATGGGATTAGTCTTGAGGAAGACGACCAACAACTCTCCCATAAGGATTTCGAGGAACCGGTACCATTGGTACACCTCGCATATGTGGTGGATGACGATGATGAGGTCGACGACGCATAACAGGCTGAGGTTCTAGTCCAGGAGGAGGTAGTGATCTGGGTGGTAATGGAACAGTAGGACGATAATTTGCCGCGATCGGTCGTATTGTCCTTCGGATAGATTCTGTTGGATGACTGGTTTGTAATCTCGACTGTGCACTAAACGGAGTATTCGTGGCCAGTAAAGTTGGATTTCTCGATAAATATGAGTCTGGACCAGTTCTTATTGGTGGACGTGCTCCAGCAGGAATTGGAAGATAACTGTTAGGTGGATATCGTGAGATTTCAGGTTGACGACGAAGCATTATTACTATTTATTTAAAGTTAGTTTTGCATTACTTGCCATCTTTTTATAAGGTAAAACAGCAAATAGGCAATTCATAAAGGACAACTAGTGTACAGTCAGGTTTCTTGTAGCCCTTCAATCGAACATTTGCTGACCTCGCAGTTTCTATGCCTCTTTTGATTTGAATATTAGGTTTCATAAAATTGTTTTAAAAAAGGAAAAATCTTTTCAGACGTATTTAAAGAACAAGCCGCAAAAGTAAATGTGACGTTCAGTTACGCTTCAATGCTTTCGGTAGACGTATATGAGTATCCGAGCATGATTTTGTCAACAACATAATTATTTAAAGTACAGAAAACGAAAAGCCCTTTAAAAAAATAGATGTATTAGTCGCTTTCAAGGTCTTTCTCTCGACGTGATCATGCTTGTCAAGTACTGGTTTAGTGACAATATTTCACGCAGCGTAAAAATCAAACCATGAAAATTAGTTTCTATGTTTACTATTCGTTTTCATCAAAACACGTACACATATCAGAATAGCAATCTGTTATTTTTGCATGAAAATATGATTTCTCTAATGACCACAAAAATAAGCAAAGTCTCCTATTTGTCACAACTATCTCTTTCGATATAATCAACATCTAAATATATTATTTATCGGTTTTATTAACGGAGCAATGCTTCCAAGTATTAGCATGTCACTTTAATTTAATTCTATTGCAAGTTGTAAATTTGGTTAAACAAGTGTTGCAACTCAACAAACTAAAAAAAAAGAAAAAGAAAACATGAAATTTCTTTTGACATTGCGAGAAGTAAAAGCAACAAAAACAGAGAGAAATGTAAATAAAAAAAACTTTGTATGATGAAATTTATTGTCTTGAGGTATTCAATGATATTCCGACAAGATTAGAGTCGCTGACGAAGTTTTTTTTATTCAATTATTAAGCATGTTTTTCTTAAATTATTGACAATGTTATCGGTAAAATATGTATTATTGAATATTTTAAACCATTTTTATTTTTCTACTCCTAAATACATCACTACTTATCCATAGCTATTGATTCATGCCATGTGAAATAATCGATAATCCTTTCAGATGAACCTTGAAAGAAGCAGAATATTTGTGATTGTTTATCAAGAAAAAAAACATTCGAAAGAAAAAACGAGAAATACCGTTTGATCTCAAAAGTCCTTGGTAGTAAAATACTCTTGTGTAAAGTATTTGTTTTGCAATTTTAGAATTTCTAAAATCCTGCATTTAAATTATTCCTATGAGTGATCTCAATAGATTGTGACGCTGAATAAAATAATGCTCTTGAAGAAACTTTTTTTACTCAATGTTCTCGTCTTTTTTTTGAAAGATTACTACTGTTGAAAAACATCGGGGAGCATTTTCGCCGCAAGTGTTGGGACAAAAGTTGACTCATGTTTTGATTACATAGAGGCTACTATTGATAAAGTCCAGTCGTGTAATAAGTTAGATTCTTCTATATATATTTAGTTGTTGTCTAAATGATATATTTAATGAGAATTTTTTTATTTTAGATAGAAAAAAGTAACAAGCAATGAATCAATATTTTTCAAATTCAAAAGCAGTCGATGAAGGAATGTATGCAGATGAAAGCGGTGGAAATTGTGATTATGATGATGATGATATGGGAGTTGGTAGTGGTGAAGCTATAATGCGTCTTGATTCATCTTCTACTGCTGGTTTTATGTCTCATCACATACCAATAATGGCTACAGAAAAAGTAGTTCATGCAGATTTTTTTAATGATTTCGGTGATCTTTTCGATGCAGACAGTTTTGCTCTTAATGCTACAACAACTGGACATGTCACAGCTTGAAAAAAAAGCTATATATATATATATGTATACGTATTTATCTTTTCTAAAATCTTGTTTATTTGTTTATAAAAACAAAACAAAATAAAATACATGCTTTTAAACGAGAATATGGGATTTTTTAAAATCTATTCTATATGCTATGAATGAATGAAGTTAATTTGAAAATTATTCCATGATTGCAGAGAACTTTAAAAGAATACGAATTTTAGATTGATGGTTTTCATCGACAAGTTTTTTGCAAAATCAAGCATAATCTAACAAAAACATATTTACTTAATAATTCGGTTGTGCCAACAATAGAGTTCAAATCCTTGTTAATATGCTCGACTCATAGAAAGTTGTGATTGTATCAAGATGAGAGTAATATAAAGAATAGACGAAAAGCTTTTCATTCAAACTGAACACAATTATCTTTTTGATGTATTGTGTTGTTACTTTGTTTTGTAATAGAAAGTCAAAGGCGTAAAGAATATTTTCATTGGCCATTTGTTTTCTTTAAATAATTGATATTACGCGTTGGACAGTAGCTGATGTAGATTTTTTGTTTTCCACTAATATCGTATTTAAACACCTGTCATTTAGTTATCTGTTTACAAGAAGAAAACGCAATGTATAAAATATCAATTCTCTTGTTGACCGTTCTTGTTGGTAGTATACTGCCGGTGATTTAAGAAAGTTTAAGATTTAATCAAGTCATATTCATCGTACTGTTTCACCGATCAATCATGAAAATAATGGTCTTGATTGATGATTTAATTCAAGTAGTTCTTGGTATTATTCTTCGATTTGGTATTATGGATACATATGGCCCATTTATGTGACTTCGTCATTGACAAGATGAGATAGGAGCCTCTTGGATTTATGTAGTATGGGCTGTGACTATTCTAGATCTTGAAGAATTTTCTGAATTCATGGAATTTCTTTCAGAACAATTTCATCCATCAAATTGTTAGCGTATTCGAACAGTTGCTAATATACATACTTGTCGAAAAGGTTTACGTATTGCTGGTCGCTATGCTCAACAACATTTTACTGATGGTAAAGGAAGTCAAGAATTTTCAACAACTGAAATATATAATTTAAAGCTGAACAATGGTCACCAGTTGTTTCCACGAATGCAAAACGAAGCGGAGTAAAGCTTGTACAAAATAGAAATAAAAGAATTTATCTTTCTTAATAGGTTGCTTCAGCTGTTGCTAACGATCATTTAATGACGATTGGTAAATTTGGCGTGTTCTTGAGTTTTATTATCATTTAACTTTGAACCTTTCGAATTTTTTTGGTTAGAGAGTAGCGTATTAAAAAAAGAAAACATTGAATTATATGACAGTGAATCTAATAATGGGAAATTACATGATGGAACGAACTATTGTCGATTAGGCAGAGGTGTTCGTGTAATAAAATTTCAACAATATGATTCAGTTTTATATAGATCAAATTCTATATTTAATGTTTTATCAACATTGTCAAATAAACTTAAAAATTGTCCATTTTCAGCATTAGTTTATCTCTGAATGATTATTCCGATATCTCTCGTATTTGTTTACTAATGTTGTTGTTGTTCTCGGTCTACAAAAGTTTTCTTCATTCGACTTCACCGTTATGTTGTATTTCTTTTATTCAACGGTAATCAAAAGAAATACAACATAGGGGAACGCATTAATAGATACGTTATTGCAAAATGTTCTTTCGTGTTAGGTTTTATTATAAGTTTCATCCGAGGTTTACAGTATTATGGAACAGATTAATGATGAAAAATGTAGCTTATATTATTCTAATCTACTTTTATATAATGCTGATATGACATCTTCGAAATTAATTACTATAATAACAGTTTATACTAAACATTTTCATTGATTTATATATAGGTTGCTTTTGCGCATGATTACTTGTGTCATAATGTTTCATATGAATTTGTTCTACTGATATACAAACTAGACACTATGTCCAAAGTATAAAGAGAAACAAGAAATTTGTCAACATCTTAAAATTCATCTTTTATTGGCTAACTATGACAGGTGTTTCTGTACTATTAATAATAAAAATTTATTTTTGAACCTTTTAAATATAAGATTTGCAGTGTACGAAGACCAGTACTAAACTTAATATTTTCTCGAGATTCAATTGGTAATAAACCATATAACCTGTGAACATGAAGCCCCTATAAACATAATGGATGACTTCTAATAGCATATCTCTATTAGCTATGGTTTATCATTGTTACTACTAGTAGTAGTTACAGATACAAATCGATTGAACAATAAAAACAACTAAAAATATCTAAATTCAACATTTACTAGACGCATTAACTCTTTTCTCGATATTTTTCCTATCGACTTTTCTAGATATCAAATCATTCAGTTCATCTTAAGCAGGAATAAAAGAATATTTCGTTTCCTTTAAAATCTGTGACCTATTTAATTGATAAGCAAATAGATCGATGAACATCCTTTACTATCGTCTATAGATACTGTGATAAGCAAAGCTGGCCAATTCCTAAATGGCAAATTAGTATTTTACTGTTTGAATCCATAAAATATCCGATAATGTTAAATAATCCATAAAAGAAGCATACAATTATTTCGTATTCTCCATATTCATGTGGTTAAAGAAATGACTTATTAAAATTCGTATATTGATAATAAATAGAATAGCAAAGCCCTCTCAAAATAATAAAATAAACCTCAAGTAAGGTCATAATCCAATCCAAAAAAAAGGATTGTGTGAAAATTTTGCCACTTGCGTTATTTAAATATACATTCTTAATTACCTTTAAAGTTTGAGACAGCTTGCGTATTTCTCATAAAAAATATATTTAGGCACTTTCTGCTGGCTCTTGTTTTTACTAAACTGTAAAATTTGAGGCTAAACCAATGTACAAAGCTATTGCATTGATAATCTTAGTTATTATTGGACTAGTTTCGACATCTCAACCGTTCAATAATCAGCCGACAAAACTGAAATCCTTAGTTTCACCATTTAATCCAAGCAAAGTGAACGCCGATCTATGTCCAACATGTATCAACGAAGTTGTTACACTTGTCAATGCTTTACTTAATATAATTCTTGATGAAGGAATTGTACAGTCATGCGGTCTTTTGTGTGGAGCTCTTGCCAATAAAACGGGTTCGATAATTATCGGTGACATTTGTGATGTTGGATGTGAAGCATTAGGTATTGATGAATTTGTCAAACTAATCATTAAATCCGATATTGATCCTATTTATTATTGTCAACTTGTTAAACTTTGTCCAAGTAAGTCAAACCAATTCATTTTAATTGTTCTTTTTCTTATAAAATATATGAGTACATTTATCTAGTTAAGGATGATGGAGATGCTAAATTTACAAACTTTAGTGTTATGCCTAAAACTGCTCCGGATGGTTCAAAGTTTGTGATCGACTGTTCTTTTATCACTCGTAATGGTACTGGTACAGGTACAATTAGTATTGATATTATCGATCCTAAAAATGAAACACAAGGCAATATTTATTGGTTCGAAGAAAGAAAACCTGGCACATATCCAGAAAGATTCGGTATTGAGACTTTAACTACGAAACTTAATTGTGATCCTGCAACAGGTAAAAGAATATATGTTTTTCTTGAAAACGTTTCTATATTTTGATAATTGAAGGCTGTAATGCTTGGCCGATAGGCACCTACAATGTTATTGCACAAGTATGCAACGGAGAATGTGGTTCAACGCATCCTCATACGTCTATTTATGATGTAGCTAAAACTTCGTTTCAAATTACAAAGAAATCAAAATTGTTTTGAATAAAAATTTTTCAAAAATTATTTCATGTTGCGTTACTGACGTGTTTTCTTCACAATTAATAATAGAAACAGATGCTATAAAAATTTCATAAGATCTATTTTTTCAATAAAAAATAACATATACAGAGATCATATTTTATCAATACGATGTAAATTTTAGGGCTTTTAATTTTTTTAGAATAATGTTAATGAAACATATTTTTGTAGAATTTCAAAACATTTCGTTTTTAATATTGACAGTCACCATGAAACGATAAATTGAATGCAATGTGTAATGCGATACCTTCATCAATTTTTTGTTTCATTATAACTATGTTTATTTAGATACAGTCAATAAAGTTTGTTTTTCTGTAGGCCATACATTTCACTACGAATCAGATTGTCTGAGAGCAACGGTTACATCAAAAATAAGCAGCTGTCAGCCATTTTTTATGTTTCACGAAATATGTCCGATAGTTGAATTGCCTGTGGGGGTTTTTGCTTTTTGTCATCTAAATTTTATTTTAAACACTGATTGATCTTCTTGAAGTATTTTTCCTCTCACATGAAGACACATTGAAGAATATATTTTCGGCAAAAGTGGAATGAAGTTTGAATGAAAAATTTCTAGATCGCTTTAATCCAAAAAATAACCTAGTTATTTGATTTTGCATTTCATGAAATGGATCATTTTTGTGTACTCAAAAAGTGAGTACACTCTAGATTCGGTCAGCGTGTTCGTCCGTCCGTTAACACGATAGCTTTTGACAGCCTCATCCAATTGTCTTGAAATTTTGTACACAGAATGATCTCATCAATATCTCAGTCGAGTTCGATGTTTCCTCATTTATTTTTATTGTCATCACGACGACACGTACTTTTCAGTCGATGTTACAGTCTATCCAAAAGAATGAAGATATCAAACATGATGAAAAACAAATCAATGATTTTTCTTAGTTTCACCGTAAAATTTTATTGCAATATTTAATATTAGTAGTTCAAGCATATTAGACTCAGCTATTCTTTTTTTTGGCCTATTTAGATTGTACTTGAAATTAATGTACTCGTTGCTTATAATTTTCATATGTCGCTCTAAGCTGAGCTGTATTGCAGTAAATTTGGAAAACAAACTATTAAAGGAGCTTCGAAACACGTTACAATCGAAAAAAAGAAATAGAAGATAAGAAAACTAGCCATGAATGCAGTTTAAATTCTTTTCAAATGAACAGCATATGAATCAAGTAATTGAATCAATTGAACTAGTTATTTTAGTTCAGTATGTGTCTATAGAATAGACAGGATGACACGTTCTCAGCCTAATTATGACCTCGTCTATTTTTCATGCAGTTTAGGATGAAAAAGATAGGCTCGTTATCAATTCTGACTGGAAGAGTACTGAAAACATGAAAAGAACGTTTTCAGATTTTTTTAAATGAGTCATCAGTTTGCCTTTTTTTAATTTTTTTTTTCTAGTTTACCTGAAAATATTTTTTTAAAATAAGCATAAGATAAAAATAAAACAGTAGATAGAATTGCGTCGAATGCCGTCAAACTTCCAAGAGTCATGTCGAAGAAAAAGAAAAGTGCACGAAACTTGAAGCATTCGATGTTAATTCTATGTGTACTTGTGCATCTGGAACACCTGATTATTTTTCCATCGAAGGATTATATATATGCGTCGTATTCGTTTTAATATTATTTTTTCGTAAATTGTAGAAATAATCGGTGGAAATCATGTATAAGGGTCTTACTATCGTGCTTATTACCATTTTTGGTATTGCTAGCGCTTCAAAACATTTTAACGTTAAATCCCACAGTATTAACCATGCTATCCAACCACAAGTACGTCTTGATCTTTGCCCAACATGTATTAATGTTGCTGATCAATCCATTAACATTTTACTCAATTTAATTCTTGATTCTGGTATTATTGGTACATGTGGTACATTATGTCAAGCTTTGGCTGAAAAAACAGGATCGCAACTCATTGGCACAATCTGTGATTTAGCTTGTGATGTTGTTGGTATTGATGAATTCATCAAATTAATCGAAAAAGCTGATCTTGATCCAATCTGGTATTGCGAAATTGCGAAATTTTGCCCAAGTAATTATATTCTTTTTCTATTCGCATAACAACTAATATTTTTTCTATATAGTCAATGATCATGGTGACGCTAAAATTACCACATTCTCAGTCTTACCAGCAACTGGCCGTCAAGGAACCACATTTGCCATTGATTTTAGCTATATAACATTGAATGGAACTGGAACTGGTGAACTCGATGTTGATATTCACACTCCCGATCGTATTCCACTTGGTGCTGGTTTCTTACTAGAAGCTAAAAAAGCCGGTACATACAACGAAAGAATCAGCGTCAAGGCCGAACCTGATCCAGAATGTGATCCCACACAACGTAAGATTTGTTTTTGAATTTCGTTAAAAGAATCTGTATCTTCTATTTCTATTAATAGAACCATGCGAAGAATGGTTGCCAGGAATTTATAATGTAACAGTTCGAATTTGCAATGGTGAATGTGGCTCAAAACACCCACACTCGGCAATCTATGACGCAGGTCATGGTTCATTCACACTTACTGGTTAAGTTATATGGGCGTTTCTTTCTATATATTTTTTTGCAATAAATTTCAGCATTCTAATTATTGCATAAATATTTTCGTTTTGTTATAAAAAATAAACTAATTTCATGTTGTGGTTAGGAGAAACGTACCGTTTGAATTGTCAATCGACAAGATACTTGCAAGCTATTTCTAGAATCATTTTAACAAAGCTAAACAATGAACTACTAACGAAATACATGACTAGTGTGTTAGTTTAATGATGAATTTCTAGCATTGTATACTGTTGGTATGCAATCGACACTTTCAATTGTGTTGGATTGAATATCAAAGAATAATTTGTAAAATTGTGTTGCATCTCAACCGTAAATGTTGACCATTTAGAAACAATCAAAAATATATATATATATATATTCTGTTCTGCTTAACAACCAACACAAACTAATGATTCTTCGTATTAGTAAATATTTATCAGGATTAATAGATAAATTGAAATTGTGTGAAAGAAAACACATTTTCTATCGAAGAAACTAAATTTATCTTTCATAAAGAAATTGATCGTGTAAAAGTACAAAGCGTTTTTCAACTGTAAATTTGTCTGCTGGTGCATTAATATGATGATTTTTTCCGAGTACAGAATCTCACAGGTTGCAACTCAGTACGAGTGGGATGCGTTGAAAATTTAGATTATATGATCACCATCGATAAAGCAGTATGAAATAAATTTAATATTCTATAAAGAAACGAACGAATGATAAAAAAAAATTTTGTTGATTTAAAAATACACTGTTGACATATACTTGGCCTCGAATATACAAAAGAAAATTTGAGAAAAACAAGAATCTTTAGCAAACAATAACTAAGTATAAATGATTCTGAGTCTAACGATTTATATTTTCTCATCACAAAAAAGCAAGATTCGTTTTGATGATTCTTTAAACATTTTATTATTTTATTTGTGTTGCATATATCATATTTTTGATAGTGTTCTATTTGTTCTTCTTACATGTATGGATTCATTTTAAGAAAATTTTCTCATTAATCGCTTTCATTTTTTGTATGTCCTATAAAAAAATCTGAAAAACAAATCGTTATTTTTGATGTAAAAGCATCAGATCATACTTGATTGTTTCTTATTTCGTCGATAAATATGCTTCATATGCCTTCTCAACGCCATCGAGGTCAATTAAATTTTCTCCGGAAGTTAAAAATCCATTAACATCTACATTTATTACTATGTAAATATTATATTAGTAAACAATGAGCTTTCTACGAGAAATAAATTCAGTTATATTCTTCGATGTTTGTTACAAACGGACAGTAGCATACACATGGTATTTTCTTTTTTTCCTTCTTATCATTGAATCCATGGTTGAATTGAATAATGATTATTAAACGCATAGTACCAGAATTAATTGTATCATCAGCATCAAACCAAAGACAAAGTGTAGAAAAAATAAATAAAAACACGATGTCTGTCAAAGTGTAATATTATTTGATCAAGCTTACAACGATTCTTGTTGTTGCTGCTGTTAGTTAGTCTGCATAATTTTATGCGTAAGATCTATTATGACCATCTTTTTTGTGTACTCAAAAAAAGTGAGCACACTCTAGATTCGGTCAGTGTGTTCGTCCGTCCGTTAACACGATAGCGTTTGAAAGCCTCATCCAATTGTAATGAAATTTTGTACGCAGACTGATCTCATCAATATCTCAGTCGAGTTCGAAGATGAAAGCCATCCGTCAAGAAATACGATGTTTCCCCATTTATTCTGTATTATTCTCTAGATAGAATCTGTTCATCGGTGAATTCTCTCATCAGCATGAATATGGAATTGAAATATTAAACTTTGATTCATTTTTATTTTGTCTTAATTAAATATTATTATAATTGATTCTTTATATTTATTAAGATATTCAAGTCGAATAGAAAGCTTTTCTAATATTTTTATATCAAGTTATTATCCAATTTGTTCTTCAAAAGTAACTTAATAAAGTTCATCTGGGATACACTTTAGAGAATCAACAATACATGATGTTTATGATATTCTCTTTCTTGTTTATGGGTCTCATGAGGAAAAACTCTCTAAATGATCAATCAAATTCATCTGTCTCTAACAGATTCTGATTAGCTACGAATAACCTAATAGCAATTCGGATCCCTAATGTATTATTACTAACTTCCTGCATATTTATGGTAGTTTTTAACGTCATGTTAGACCTCCGATGGCGGAACTCTAAAATATTTAGCGTCAAATTCCGACTATACAACTTTCGACCAAGAACAGACCTGCAGAAGCATAGCCAATTGTGATAGTTTCAAATCTTTCTATTTACTGATGTCGTTACGTATTTTTCAGTTGAAATTCAAATTCCTGTTTTACTTAAAGATAGCTAGAGCATGATGCTAAAAAATAAACACTATCGAAACATAATATTTCCACTTAAATACGCTAAAGATTGAATCATTTTCAGGAATATTCGAAACTTATTAATCTTGAAAAAATATACATTGCTTCGACTTAACATTGATAAAATAATCAAGAAATTTCTTCAGTAAAAATATATTTATGTTTAAATAGTGTGACAAATGACATCATAAAAGTACTATTCCAACTTATGTATAAGAGATGAATAATTCTGTGATTAAGTCAACAATCATCAAGAAGTGAAGAAAAAAATCATATATTGGATGAATGGGTCATCAATCAAGACCATCGTGATCGAATAATCAGCATTAGTTATCTGAAATATTACAAAAAGAAAAATAAAAGATTACAATAGATAAATATTTCTTGATTTCATACTAGTACTTGTTAACTCGAAGTGACGAAAATCGAAGAAAAAGAAAAATAAGAAGAACTTATACGTAGAGATGCATTCATGGACATCATCATATTTAAACTTATGACAAGAAACTAATTTATTCATTCTAATAAGAAGAAAAGAAAATGTTGTTGCTGGTTCATTTTTTTTTTCTAGAATATAAACGACAAACAGTTTGCTGTATTCAGATACTACAAATAATCGAAGTAATAGCATAAGTTGCCGAAGCATAGAAAAGAAGAGTGTTTGTTCTTTTCTTTTTGCAGTCATTCGATCGCAGCTAAGGAAAAAAGACGGCAAAAGAAGAACAAGAAAAAGAGAAAAAATCGACAAACATACATTTCACGATGTTCAATAAGAAAAAAAGCCATCTTTGTTACTGAGCTGAGTTGTCGATGACGATCAACGAAGATGAGAACCGTTATTTTTCTATATTTCATCGTCATATTTACTATTAATAAAGTTCTTTTGACTAGTAAGTAATCACACCTATAATTACAAATAACGTTTCTTGTTTAATTACAATAGGAGCTTGTAATTCTGCATATTATCCTCCCACAAAATGTCTTGATAAACTTGATCATTATGAATGTATTTGCGGACAAGGTCAATTGTGGAATGGATACACATGCGTTGGTACGGACCACAAACATATTATGAATGAGAAACATAAATAAATAAATATTTTTCTATTGTAGCGGATGCTGTAGATTCGAGACTTGTTTTTAATGTTAGCCATTTTCCATCGTATATTGAACTTAATAGTAAAACGTTTCCACGTATTTCCGAATTGACAATATCATTATGGATTCGAATCAAATCAAAAATTGATTCAACTCAACATACAATACTTTTCTATAAAACAGGTTCATCGTATTTCTTAGTATCGATTTATATGTCTATATGTATGTGTTTATTATGAATCATTCTAGACGATGCTCAGCCAGTTTTACTTGTATCATTAATAGATAATGCTCGTTTACATGTAGAACTATTAGATGATATTTATGATGTATCAGTGCCACTATCCAGGGAACAATGGCATCATATAGCAATAGCACATAATCTTTCTCAAAGTGAAAATATAAAAATACTGATAAATGGCACACGTGTTATTCTATTGACTACATCAAGACATTATCGACATCAAACACGAAATCAACAAAGAATAATTGATAGTGGTGGTGATTTATTTGTCGGTCAAACAATACGTACAACAAATCTCACGAGTAATAGTATGACTGGAGATTTAGAATTCGATAATCAACGAACTTTTTATGGAGAAATTACACTTCTTAATATCTGGCAAAAAATTTTACCCGATCATGATTTATATCTATTAGCAAATGATTGTCATGCTCAACGACGACTATGTGGAGATGCAGTGACTTGGATGGATTTTGTCAATGATATTAAAGGTGAAGTTAAAATACATTGGCCATCAGGAATTTATTCAATTTTCGGTAAAATTTTTTTTTTATGAAACAATGAAAATTTTATATTTAATGAATTGTTTTTTTTGTATTGCTATTTAGAGAATTGTCCTAATCAACAGTGGCTTCATGAAGCATGTGGTAATTACTGTCGAGAACTTGATGGTAATCTTCTTTTTCTTTTGTATTTGAATTTTATATAAATTGAATAGTTTCATTTTGCTTAGGGCCTCATTGTAAAAATGAAAGTCAATTAAGTATTATTTGGCAGAAAGCTACAGCTGGTCAAACAATTGTTCAACATTGTCCAGGACATATAAAAAATGGTAAAAATTATTCAGAAAACTTATTTTCCGAAATAATCTAATAGAAAATTTAGGTAGCGTTTATCGAACATGTCAACGTATTGAACAAATCGCTCGGTGGACATATGTTGATTACAGTGAGTGTACTCATCCATTAATTAATGCAATCGATCAAGAACTAGAAATAACTAACATTGATAAAGAAGAGATCCTTGTGCTTCGTGATAAATGTGCATTTCTAGCTGAAACAACATCGATGAATTTAACTACAACACAATTATATAGCTCAATTGATCTTATTTTACTTATTGAACAAATTGAACGATTAACTAACGTTCTAGTATGTTTCATTTCAAGAATAGACACGAAAATCTTACAATTTTTCTTAAAAATCTTTTCAGACAAGTCATTTTGATAGTTTAACTCAATGGTATTCATCATCCGACGAATCATTGTATTTAGGTGATGTGAATGCTACGCTTCAAGTTCATCGATATTTAGTTGAATCTATGTCAAATTTAATTGATGATAGATATGCATCTCTATGGATTAGTACGAATCCATTAGGCAATGATTTTGTTCGTTTGTTATCTTCCCTGAAACGTTTAACAACAATTCTTGCACAAGTATTAAATAATAATTGTGACCGATTTCCTGGTTGTTCATTCAGTGTAACTACAAAAAATATAAATCAAACAATTAATGTTTTAAATCGTCAAGAATTACATTCATTTGATTATGAAAATGAAAATACACAAGTCAAATTCACTTCTAGTCATACTAAGAAAAATCAAAATCAAAATAATAGAACAACATTGATAAATGACGATAGCAATAACAGTAAAGATTATTAGTAGTATAAATTGAAAAATTTCCACATATTTGAATTAGGTTCTGCATGGTATTCAGTATCTATCACAAGTATAAGTACAGCTCATATTTATGTACCAAATCTTCGATTAGGACGGTAAACAAATATATAAATTTCTAAAGAAAAACAAAATACCCAAAAAATAAATGTTGTTATTTTAGTATTTCTAAATATGATAACATCAATAGTCATATTGTATCTGTTGATATTAAACATCGTAAACCAATTCAACAATCAAATTTGTTTTCAACACTCGTAGCAACTGACACAACAATACCTGTTCTTATAACAATGAAATATCTAAAAGTAAACATGCTGTTTTATTCGTTGTCTATGATTCGAAAACTGAACGTCTCTGTTTTTCAAATAGTACGATAATATCTCAGGTAATCAATGTGTTTACCTTGATACAAAAAATTCATTTATGCAAGGACAATATAAGTAAATAATAGAAAAATTGAGCAGATCAGATTTTCTTATTGAAATATACATGATATTATAGAGCAACACTTTTTCGTCAATGGCATTGGCAAATTTCATCAAATGTATGTGATATAACTCCAAGTTCTCTAGCTGATAAAGCTACATGTACATGTCTAATTTCCAATGGAACATTTGCTATTACAAGTGATCTGTTCGATCCAAATGTGAGTAAAAAATCCGAAGATAATTAATTTTATTATCATATAAATATTTATCTAGTGGCGTCCACTAGAATTAAGATTATATCCGTTAGATTTATTTTCTTATATTGGATCATTTATCCATATATTGTTTGCAGCAATTACATTACTTATGTTGAATTATCTTAGGTAACTTCAGCATTGTCTTTTTCGTATCGGTAAACAGAAAGAACAAATTTTCTCTGTTTTAGAACTCATTCAACAGCTGCCTATATTCATAAACATTATTCATTTGCTTTATGTTGCTCACAGATTATTCTCATCTTAGCGTTTAATGGTATTCCATATCATCATTTATTTCTTTGTCGTGCAGTGGCATGTACAACACATTATTTTATACTTTCATCTTATTGTTGGCTAATGAATGAAGCATTTAATTTATACATTCAAATAACCTATACAACACATCCAGCTGTTGCTGGTACAAGTACTGCACTTTCTGATGCTGCTTCAAAATATCGTTTTCTTGGGATGGGTTATAGTAAGTGAAATATTGTTCTTAAAAGAAAAAAACAATCAAATTTCATTTGCATATGTATATAGTTTTACCATTTTGTATTGTAACATTACTTGCATCGATAAAAAAATCAACTTATTTTTTGCCAGTCGAGATGCGTTTATGTTTTATTGATCTTGATGATTGGTTAAAAATATATTTCATTCCAATATCAGCGATTATATTTGTATGTATAAAGAGAAGAACGTTCGGTTTTTGGATTGTAAATAAATTTTTGTCTTTTTGCTTGTAAATAGATAACAATCATGGTTATGATATTTTCAGCGAAACAACATCATGAAAGTTCGTATACGAAAAATGAAAAAGCCAATGAAGTTATTGTGTAAGTTTTGAGTAGAAAGAAAATTTAAAAAAAATTAACTATCGAATTTTTAGAACATATACTGGTGGTATTTGGTCACAGTTATTTTTAATAACAATTAGTTGGTCATTTGCTATACTACCTTATTTTTATGATGAAACTATTCTTCGACTATTGCATGGCTTTTTCAGTAGTTTACAAGTATAAAAATTGATTTGTGTTGTTCTGATTATGATAGTTATTGTTTTTCACTATAGGGTGGTTTTCTTTTTCTTTCCTTTTTCTTATTTAATGATGAGGTAAAATGATTTAATTATTATCTTCTGTTTGAAAATGAATGTTTAAATTAGATTCGTCGACATTATCGTGAGCGTCGTCGTCAATTACGTCGTATTCAATTGATGGAAATTCCTTATCATGGTTCAACACCTGGATCTGAAGGACAACGTTCATCACTGATAATCTCTTCAGGATCGCCACCCACAGTAAGCAATGCTGCAAATTTATTAGCACCAGAATTACCAACAAAAAAACCTTCACTGGCATCAGTTGTTTCCACTGTGTTAACTCGAAACCGACAACCTACTTCAGCTCGTAGTACTTATGAAGAAATGAAATGGACATTAAGACGAAGATCTTCAGTTGATGGATCGAAATCAAAAGAAACCCCTTCAAATAATAATAATAATAATAATGATAATGATGATGATGACGATGACGATGACGATGATGATGATGATGATGATGATGATGATGATGATGATAATGATGCTACTAGTGAAGATCATAATGATTTTCGTGTTACTGTTGTTTAATATTGTTTTTCTGAGTTGTATATAGGAAAATTTTCAGTAAAAGTTACACACACAAGTCAGTTGAAGAGAATAATACATTACTCATCTTGATAGCAAAACTATTGTTATACATATGATTCACTTGTATGAATAGTTTTGGGTCATCGAAGAGAAAAAGCAAATACTATGTTGATAAAGATATAGTTACAATACTAAAAGAAATATTTCGTATACGATATGTCTTCGAATGAATCGTTATTTAACTCCTTGACACATGAAGATAGAGAATTATTTGATTCTGTAAGTTATTCTTAAATTGTGAAAAATATAAAATTTGTCCTCTTTACAATACAAAGATTCTATCAATAGTCGAATTCACGAAACATTTCCATCCATACCTACTGATTATGAAGTAAAACCATTGAGTATTTATCGGCAACTTGGCTGTGGTACATTCTATACTTATAAAGTATAATTTCACTTTTTTCTTGAAACTATTAAAAACGATAAATAATTCTTTTTAAGGTCGCATTACCTGATAATCAAATTGCTGAAGTCTCTTTTCATCTAGGTGGTAAACGAGCAGTACCACTTGTTGGACCACCACATTTTGAAATTACTAAAAGCAACTAACCAATAGAATTATGCCTGTAGAACAAAAATTCGCTGAATAATATATTTCATATTGTCACAATTTGATAAAAAAAAAGAAGTAACATTTTTAATTACTAGCTTAATACAATAAGCAGGAAGTTAAATATCGTATTCTTAAAATTTAGAAACATGTTGCATCATTTCTTTAACGACACAGGAAGCGATTAACATAAGTAATTGATCAAAAGAAATCCAATTTGTAGTATCGCTTCTTTTTTCAAGAAAATGATGAAAGAAATCATCGGAGCCGACACTAAAAGCTGCACGATTCAAATGCTCTTATACAATATATAGATGCAGTCATTCTGATTCGTAAAGTTTGTTCATGTTAATAAATATAAACCCCTTCTTATTAATGAAACTTAAACTCCTGGTTATAATCATACGAAACAGAAGAAAAGTGAATCGATGTAAGAATAAATCATTGTTTCTTTTTATTTTGAGAATATATTCTCTAATTTTAACAATTTCGTTTTATGCTGCAAGTTCTATATGAATTTGTCACTAAATTCGTTATCATGAGAGTCTACAATCATGACAAGTGAATCTATTGGCCAACTGGCAGGATAGAACGTTAACATGCGCTTCGCAGATGTTAAGACTATTGATAATTGCCCATCTATAATCCAGCGCGACATCACTATCAGTCATGTTTATTTTGGATCATGTTCATATCGATAACCTAAAATGTCTTCTATATTCCAATATGATACTTCTAGCATTCGAGATGTGAATGTACTACGATGATATGTCCATGTGTAGAATTTCTTCATTGTAGTGTTTGTGGATGCGATGCAATACATAATCTTATCAAAAGTGCTTCAAAAACCCCGGGCAATAATTGAACTATATCGAACAATATTTTGGCATGTTCGTTACATGAACAGATGTCAGGATTGTATGTTAACATAATGTAATTAGATGCCAACTACGTGATCTTATTGTAGAACTTCATCTTTATTATTCATTGAATAATATCAAAATTGAATAGTTTGTTTCAATACTTTTTTGTAAAGCATACAGTAAAAATAGAATAAAGGAAACATTGTAAAATATACCCTTGTACTTGTATGTTAACGCTATTTTCTACAAAAGGAGAATTTTGGAGGATTATCATTGAAAATATTAAGGAGGATCTGATGTAAAAAAAAGGAAAAATATAGGAGGATTTTTGTCTTCTCCAAAAAAGAAAGATTCCTACGCAAATTTGAGCTTATTAGTATTCTGAATAGGTTTTATTAAAACATTTGACATAATTTCAACAAATGTTTATGTATAAATTTTAAGCTATACATAATGTGCAAATGAATGATGACGGTTGAGCACCTGGTTTGAGTCATGGCTCAGCAGGCACGCCATCTGAATCTACTTTTTCTAACCCAGAAATATAAAATTTTGTAGCAAGACGAGGCATCTATCGAGGATGTAGCATCTAAAAATATTCTTTTTCAAAAGATTAAGCATATAATGTTACGGCAAATTTACTTTATAGCTTGTACGAAAGAAAAGAACTTTATTTCGAGTTTTCAATGCTTTGGAGTTGTAATCACCGAGAAATAAAAATATTCGAAGGTAAAATAAATATTTATGTATTCCCAGGTCGAGCAATCCGACAGTAGGCACCTATCGGAACTCATCCGATCCGACTGGAATCCAATAGGATTTTATCGGGTCCTGTCAGATCTTACAGAATTATCGTTGGATTCCGGGTCGAGGAATCGATGTCGGATCCTCAGTGTCGGATTCCTATGAATTCCAAGGAAAAGCCGTTGTATGTCATAGGATTCCGACATCGATTCCACGACCCGGAATCCAATAGAATTGTATCGGATTGTAGGATATTTCCAGGTTCCTATCGGATCCGATGTCGGATCAGTCGACCTGGGTTAATTCTTAATATATAGCATTATAAGACGATCTCATTACAGCTTGCGTAAAGCGCAATACATGAAGAAAACAAAAGAAAAAGCGAACGGCATTTATACATATAATAATTACATAATTGTGCTAGTTGTTTGTTTGTTCTTTTTTCTTTCTTCCTCTGCCTTTGTAATTGCAATTGTAATTGTATTATCTTTTAATTTTACATATTAAAAATTAATACGTGATTGTTCACATTTCTATCTAATTGCAAGAGATGTCGATTCTATAGTATTAAAAACTCAAAATACAATTTGATTTTCATTGAAAATAAATACCTTGTCGTGTTAATGCTACACTGAATTACTTGAAATATCCTTTGAATGGCTGACTCGTCAAAAAGTTTTGCTGAAAATATTTAAAATTCTGATTTCTTATCTTAAATGACAAAAGGAAAAAAAGGAGAATTTTTAAGTGAAAAAGAGGACAAGGAGGACTATTCTCATACAGAGCCCGCGGGAAGGACCTAATATTGGGAGGGTGTAAGGGGTGTTTGCAACAAAGTTCGCAAAAAAAAGCTCAAAACTTGCAAAAAATCTTCTCCTGTCGCTGAAAAAAATTGAAAATTTTCAATTATTGGGGAGAGGGGGATATACACCCCCCCCCCACCACCACCACTTCCGCGGGCTCTGTTCTCATACCAGATTAATAATATACCATGCTTAGAGAGATCTTTAAAATACTATCTATCTATCTATCTATATATAGTATTGGCAGTGAAAGTTTTTCAAACACCACATTAGAGTTTATCAAAAGCAATCATCATATGTATTCATTGGCATTTTCATGTTGTTCGAAATTAAGTGCTTAACTACTCAAACTTTTGATACAGTAAAATTTTGAGTAAATCTATCTCAAATCCATCGTGAACTACAAATGAATGAGTCAAATCTTAGTCGACCCATAGCCGGAATAATATTTAGCTGTTATTCTAAATAACTGAGAAAATTAAGATTATTCATTCTTTTGAAACATTACATTGACAAGAGTCCACTAAAGATTACACTCATGATTCTATTTTTAGACACGTCACGTTGTCAAATGAAACATAAATTGTTATCTTAAAGTGCATTCATGACGAAGCATCTTTTGCTAAAATAAAATACTATCCAATAGATACTTCTGTTATCATTAAGATCTAGTTTTTATTTCTCAACATATTCCTTCATCATAATTATAGTTTGACTCTATTTTGTTTTTGTTCTCTCTTTTCATCATCACAAAAGCTCATAGATAACAAAGACATAAACACATGGAAAAAAAGAGAAAACTCGAATTGTTTTAACATATCGAATGAAAAAGACAAGAAATAAAAAATAAACGCAAGAAAAGAAATGAAACACAAGTCCTCTACATAGACGTTTTATTTTCCAAGCAGAAACAAACAAAAACAATGATCTGTTTTTCAATGTTTTGCTAGAAAAAAAAAATCAAATGAGTTTAATTACCTTGACAATACATAAGTCAGAGTACTAATATATACATACAATGACAAACAACAAGAAACAGAGAAAAAGGATACAAAGGAAAAAAACAAGAAAATGTTCATTCGAGATAGAGTTGAGAATTAGAATGATGATAATAATCGAAGAAACTTTGCTTGCTTAACATGAGCCACCAACCTAGGAAAATAAATTAAATAGTTTTATTTATCACAAATCTTAGTTTTTTTCGATGTTCAAACATACTTGTTCTTGATATACATCAATGGTATCATTATCTTCCATTTCTAGAAGTTTCGGTGTTTCATCATCATTTATACGTTTACCGTCAAATAAAAACCTGTAAAATTCAAGTAAGAAATTAACATTAGTATTTTGTTTCTCAAAGATATTTACCGCAAACTACCAACCGCAACGCCTAAAGATAAAAAAAAAATGACTAAATATAATATTAACAAATGTTATTTAACAAACCTTGACGTTCAGCATATGATTTTTTCAATTTTCCCATTGATGTCGTCATTTTTACCTTGAAATGTACTTCACCTATCAAGAGAAAAAAATAAAACTAGTGTGAAAAAAAGTATTTTCTTTCTTCAATGATAACTAACTATTGTCTTGACCAACAACCCTAAGTTTAATATATTCATCTGTTTTGCTTGTATTATTGCTATTGGAAGCGTCAGCACTGGACATTTCTATCTTTTTCTTCTAAAACAAATAAAACAAGGCGTAGCTTCAAAAGTTTTAATTCCCTTTACTAGATGAATATTTCATCGTTCATATGAGTGAATATGTGGCAAGAATTTTAATATATAGATTTTTAAGAGAATGAGAGAAAGTGGGCAAAGAATGTTCTAGAATATGATGATGATTGGTCAGTTTAGAAAAAAATTTAACATAGTCATGCACTGTATAGTACAAGTAGAGCTACTAGCAATGGAAAAACCATGTTAGATGACGCTTTCGTCCTTAGAACAGTGGCGTCCTCTTTCTCTCATTCTCTCTCTTTCTCTTTTTTTGTTCTTGTCTATCAAGTGATCACGTGTCAAGTAATAATAGACAAATTACCCGGGGAAATGTGTTATGCTTGAATGATTGGTTCGCTTTAAGAACTAAAAGTGCGTAGGAAGAAAGCTTAACACTTGTTGCAGTATCAGATTAAAAATATCTTGATCGATCTTTTTTTTTGCTATTTTTTTACTGAAATTGAATAGTTTTTCTATGAAAAAATCTCATTATATCCATGTAAAACCAGAAAGAAAAATGCATTGCATGATAGTTACAAGTGAAAAATAACGTAGTCAAGAATAGACCAGCGAGGATACCCTTCAATGCAAAAGCAAAAGAAAAGAAATAGGGCAAAGTATATAAATATAGACCTATTTTTTCTTTCATCAAAAATAATGCCAACAACTTTGTATAATACAGAAACATATTTATTTGAACACGAAGTCACATTGAAAAACTACGTCTTATTTGAAGATTATTCTTCTTACTAAGTAACTCTATAATTTCATAGTAATAAATTGAGAGTATTGAATATTGGTGTATACTTATTTTGCCAATTTATGATGATAGATGAGTTATTTCTTTGAATCTAATTTTATATTACTTATATGGAAGGAGTTCAACTTTCTCAACTTTCTCAACATTTTTCTTTTTTTAAAACTTTTCTATCGTAGCTTTATGTTGCTATGTGAATCAAATAGTTTCTTTCGCTGAAAGTTGAATGTAATCTTAAAAGGGACGAAATAGCTGTTCTCTTATAAACACGGAAGCCTTATTACTTACATATTTTTGGTTTTCTTTGTTAGTCATGCTGGAATATTTTCTAAATAAAACAGTTAACTTTTAAAAAACAAAATAGAAAAATTGCCATCACTCGCATTAATTATAGGCACAGTAGTTAACAAATAATAAACGGGACAAATAGATTTCTCCTTTTTAGGGCACTTCCCAGAGATAATGTTAGACTTTATTGTCGGTTCATTTAGTTGATAGTATCCTACTTTTTAATCATAATGTGTTCGTTTTTTCTTTAAAATAGCCCTTCTTATTGACGACACTAAATTTAACAGATGAGCTCTAACTCGACAGTTTCGCTTCGATTTATGTAAGTGCTCATTACAATCGACGCTGGAATGAGAGTATTTTGCATTACTGGCGAGCATATTTTGTGTTCTTTTGCTTCATGACCTTCTCAATGTTTTTTACCTTGTAATTATTTATAAGAGAAGAACTTTGAACCTACATCTCACAGTATTTTAACATACTTCTCTGTCTATCGTATCTTTCAAAAGCAAACGTGCTTTACGACATGTTATTCTTACACATACTCTCGAGTATACAATAAACTTTTGAAAAAGTGATATATTAGTTTAATTGAATACCCTCAGTATTTGATAATTATGAGTGAAACAAAAGCAACAATCCTAATCTATTGTAGGAAATTTTTTTCTCTGTTCTTTTCACATAAAGTTCTGTTCAAATTCTGACACGTCTATAAAAAAAAGCTAAATTACATAACTCTATGATATTTTTTTATGAAAAAACAGGAAAATATTTTCTCTCGTTCATTAGGTGTCACCCTGATCATCCCTGATTGGTCCCATACCAAATTCGTCCCATTTAAATTTTTCTTAAATCGTCCCATTCCGAATTTGTGCCTATCTCAATCCGTCACATGCTTAATTGGTATCTAATTTTTCGAAATATCGTGATTATCCTCATCTATTGAATGCTAAGTATACTAATCACGATACCTTATGTCTCGTTGATCTTCTGAAGTACGAAAATAATTTAGAAAATAGCGAACACAAAGAAAGTTGCTTTTATTTTTCTAGTAAACCGAATAACTCATGTTTAAGTTCACATTAGAGTCCTGCAGGTTAAGACTTTTTTGTACCCTAATCCTGCCCTATCGTAAAACTTCGTACACTTGTCCTGCCCCTGCCCTACGACGTTCTTACCCTACCCCTCCCCTGCCCTAGGGGCTTTGTACACTTACCCTTCCCTTTCACAGAGATTTTCCATTTTCCATCCTATCATATACTTAGAGTTTCTGGCCCAAGTAAAAGTAAGCGTGAAGTTTTTCTTCACTTAGTTTCAATATATTTTATTGATTTTCAACGAGAATCAAATACAAAATTAATAAATATTTCGAAAGTTTCTTAAAAATATAATGTCATTTACAACATCACCACTTAAATTTTGCCTTCTCTCTTTCAAAACTCGCCCGTTTGTACTAACAATACGTTCATGTCGAGATGATTTCGAAGACATTTTGTGGAACTCACATATATTTTCGAAGAAAATAGTGAGTGTAAATTGAATTGTTAGACTTTTGCGGCTCCCCATTTTACAGACATAAAATATNACCCTTGTCCTGCCCTGCCGTACGACGTTCTTACCCTAGCCCTCTAGACTTCGTAACCTTGCCCTACCCTGCCCTAGGGGCTTTGTACCCTTACCCTACCCTATCACAGAGATTTTTCATTTTACACCCTATCATATCCTTAGAGTTTCAGATCCAAGTAAAAGTAAGCGTGAAGCTTTTCTTCACTTTGTCTCAATATATTTTATTGATTTTCAACGAGAATCAAATACAAAATTAATAAATATTTCGCAAGTTTCTTAAAAATAAAATGTCATTTACAACATCACCACTTAAATTTTGCCTTCTCTCTTCCAAAACTCGCCCGTTTGTACTAATAATAAGTTCATGTCGAGATGATTTCGAAGACATTTTGTGGAACTCACATATATTTTCGAAGAAAATAGTGAGTGTAAATTGAATTGTTAGACTTTTGCGGCTCCCCATTTTACAGACATAAAATATAAAAAAACTAACACTTAGATGCACTAATTAGAAATTTTTTTGGTACAGGCCGATTGCCTATGTTCACCACTACTCACATCAGTAATAAAAATCTAGTTTCACTAATTAGAAATCATTACAATTAGGATTTAATCTCTAATTAATCATCAAAATCTGTCGTTTTTATTATTATAGGCCATAGTTACGACAGTATTATATATTTTTATTATTACAGACGTTAGCAACGAGTGTATGCTACCGCTACAGAAGCTAGCAGCTAGTTTGTGCTACTATTATACACTCGTTACTTCTACCATTTACAATAAACAGATGAAGATTTTAATCTTTTTTTTCTCACATAAATACCTTATTCTAGAGCTTGAATCCACTTTAGTGTATTTACAATTCGCAACTTTTCCATCCACTGGGAAGTTTTTATCAAATTTTCGTTTATGAAAGCATGCATCAATTTCTCATTTAGTAAACCGAAAAAATATAAATTTTTCAACAATATTGATAACTATATCCTAAATACTGTTTAAACTATTATCATTCAGAATATTTCTCAATGAAACCACTAAACACTGCAGCATACTGGCATATTCTAAACAAAAAGTTTTTTATACGTTCTCTCTAGTAATATTTCCTATTGATAGACCCAATAAATTTCAAATGTTAAAAAGGTTTTATTATCTTATTTTTGAACAAAATAGGATCTCACTACACTGAAAAAATAAAACTTCTATTTGATCAGTATTTAACTGATCGAAATATGTGAGTTCCACATTTTAGTCCCAACGGGGCTGCGCTGAAAAACTTTTTTATTACATTTACATGCACATTTACTAGACAAATAATCAAAAGTGACTGAACTCGTCAGCTTATGTAAAGATAGTACTAAACAATAGGCCATTGTTTTCCGTTCGTTGTTATTCTATCCATTCGATTTAGATTATGATATCATCCGCTACAATGTTTTTGATCAAAAAGATGTCAGAAATATATATTAAGTTCTACTCTATAAAAATTTTACTTGTATGAGCTACACCCTACTTATACTCTAAATATTTTTTTTGTAACCTTAACTTGCCTTGCCCTGCAGGGCAGGGCAGGGTAGGGTAGGGTAGGGCAAGGTTGACCTGCAGGACTCTAGTTCACATATAGCGAACGTTCAAAGCCTGTGTTGAACTTTAAAGGACATCAATATACAAAAAAAAAACAGGAAAAAAAACTGATCAAGCACAAGAACACTAAAGAGACTAATAGCTTTAATGCCATCTTATTTTTCTTTGATAATGAATAGTTCTTTCTCTATAACATCCTATATTATTTTACAGACAATCAGGGACGAGTTGGGAGTTGCTGAGAAAAACACAGGGACGAGTTAAGAAAAATTTAAATGGGACCAATCAGTGACGAATCGGGTCTAAACCCTAATATTTTTAATGCAGTCATATTTACGTCAATAGACGAAAATCTAAAACATTTGAACAGTTGATCAGTTAAGTCATACATTATCTTAATTGAGCGTGTTTGAAAGTTTAATACGATGTTCAAACACGCACGTATACTTTTTTTGCACTCTCCTTTGATGAGTCGGACGAAGAGAAATGAATAGTTATTCTGACAATCAATCTATTATCATAATAAAATTGTAGCCGTGTGCGAATATGCATAAAAATATGAGAAGAACCAACATCTAAAGACATCACAGCAGAACGTTCAATGAAATTATGCCAACGTTACAATGTAGGTCACATTAATATTCTAATACACCTGAAAATTTCTCGATTATGATATTTGAAATATCTCACTCAGAAAATTAATCATCCGTCCGTTTTAGTCGGCTTTTAACATGTTTATTAGCGTTTTGTCTCAGATAATACATCGCTTTGACACAATGACTACTCATATGCACTTTTCTTTTGAACAAGAAGTAAATTTTGCAAGTCGTCAATACAACAGTGACGACGTTCAAGAATGAGTTCTGTTGTCTGAATAAATAGAAGAAAACGTGACATAATTGAATAAGTATTTATAGAATGAACAAATCAGTTTCATATTCTACAGAGAATCTGCAGTATTATTTTCTAATAAAAGTGACTCGATGTTTATTAACTGAGTAGAATAGAAAAATATTGTATATTGTAAATAATTTATGATTCAGATTATATATGTGGGACTAACGTTTATTGTTCTTTTGCAATCATAGTTTAGAAGTTTTGTTTCTAAAATAAATTATCGAGACGTTACTATTTTTAGTCGTTTCTAAATAAAAATAATTACTTATTCTATTTGGAAACATGTATTCGATTGTCGATAATACATTGGTGTTTTCACTTGTGTACTTGTAGAAACTAATCGTCTTTTATTTATTTTGATAGAAACTATTTCAATTCGATCAACTATAATAAAAATCACGAGAGAAAACATATATATATATATATTATAGCAAAAATATTCTTATGGATAATTTATAATGAGTTATGGCTATTTACAGACTTGTTTCAAAATAAAAGCAATCGTATTAATTATCTAATATAACTACTTATTTTGATCAATCTATGTATCACTCTATTAAGAGAAATATTATGAAAAGAATTAAAGTTAAAATTAACTTAGTGTCACCCTAACCTTGTCATTAATATTAGATCATGTATTCGTTTGTTTTCTTAATATCATTTCAAAGAAAATAGTTGCGGCTGTTTTATACTGAATGGAAATACAACTTTAGGTATTAGATAAATGTGGAAACTTCGGATTTCATCCGAAAGTTATGTGTACTGCAAAACGTGCATGGGGCATATGAGTCATTCTAGAATGTCTGAACACCAAAATTATCATGAGAAAATAGGCAATTAGTTTTCTGGATGCAGTTTTTGTGCATTTTGAGACGTTTTTCAGGCGATGTTTCATCAGAAAGCTACGATTTAGTTCAAAACTAATATCAGATTCGGAATCAGCGTTAAAAACTGAGTCGATTTATATATGTTGTGAATAATTCTGAGAAAGATTTATTTTTTGAAAAAAATTTCCTGTACTCCTCCTCAGGGATGGCCTTGTCAAAAATGACAATTTTTTCGATAACTCAACCATTTCTTGAGGAATCCTTCTCATCTTCGAACTCGACCGAGATATTCATGAGATTGAACTGTGTGGAAAATTTCATCACGGTCTGACTCTCCTTTCGCAAGTTATCGTGCCAACGGCAGGCCGGCCGGACACACTGACCGATTCTAGAGTGTACTCACTTTTTGAGTACACAAAAAAAAAACAGTCGGACTAGCAGGTAGATAAATCATGCATAAAATACTAGCTGGGAAATATAAAATCAATAAAGTTTTCTGACATGTAGTGTATTAAAAGCCAAAGAGTCGATAACATTCTGAGAAATGACTTTTTCTTAGTGCATGTTTCTATTAATAAAATATTACTGTTTTCTTTTCATCGTTATTAAAATGGATCAGATAGAATAAGACAAAATATAGTAATCCAAAGAATATTAATGTGCATGTCGATGATTTATCACCATAAATTTACCAAGAAAGATATGTCTCGAATGAATGAATGAGTGTGAATGAAAACATAAATTAATCTACGATAATAAATTTCAGTAAGATAAAATGATGAATAGATCATGATTAGTAAATGACTTCAACCCCTGACGTCTATGTCACAGAAAATCAGCAGGATGGCTCTCATAAGTATTTGATCAAGTTTGTTTACTATGCTTTTTCGCTGTAATAAATCTTAATAAAGTTTCAACCAGTAGTTTATTTGAAGAGTTTGATTTCTAACAAGGATTTTTAAAGTTGCATACGAATTCAAATCTTGTAAAACAGAAATTTCAGAAAAAAATTGTTCCCATATTATTTATGCTCTAGCATAATCGAACAAACAAACCGTTACGACATAGAGCAATACCCAATTTCCTCGGACTTTTTTGAAACTAAACAGATCAGTCTTAAGGAAGACACAAACAGGATGTTTTCATGTCATACAATAGCAACAAAAAAAGATTCTCTTATGTCTCACGTCAATTTGAACTAACTTGGTTAAAAATATCATAAAGTTTTGAAGCAAATACTATGATGTAAAGAATTATTTGGTTTTACATTCTGAATGCTTCAAATGAAATTTTATTTATCAATGCTACAAGATGAAATACATGAGTTTTAGTAATTCACGCATTTCTGTTCTTTCAAAATTAGTTATTAATTTCTTCGTTGAAAATTTCTATTACAAATAAAATTCTCTAGACAACTTACTGTTTAAGTCTTTATTAGCAATTGAGGAAATGTAACAATTGAAAATAGATTTGTCCAAATCGTTGTCGAAACCACTGTTAGCATAAATATCAAGTTTGATTGATATTTTTCTGTCAAGAGTCATGCTTTAGTTTAGGACAATAATATGACTGGATGTTCACTTTTCTACTTTTTTTTCTGAAATTAATCATTATATATCGACGTTCAGTGCAAAATATTATATTCAATACTCGCTAATAATTAAGTCTTTGTATTTATCTGCATAATACTTATCATAAAAGTTTTGTGCTTTTGACGTCATCAGTATTTTTTTCTTCTTGTAATATATTCAGAAATTTCCTCTTCTATTTGTTTGCATTTATAATAATTACGATAAATAAAAGATTCATGAAGTGTTTAGGATAAATTGATTACCATTGAAAAAGAAAAACAAAGATAATCGCATTATAAAACACAATAAAATCGGTAAAAGTTGTTTGCTTTGTTTTATTCTTTTAGTAATTTTCCATTTGAATTAATTACGCCTTTAGAAACTGTCAAAATATCAATCTACAATAAGACTATATTTAAATTTCCCATTGATAATCTTAAATAGTATGCTTTTCATCAAGTGAATTGTAGCGGACATTGTGCAAAACTATTTTTTGCTTGACATCTTACTAAAGAGATTATAATTGATCGTACATAATTTTTCTTTAGTCATTTTTCTTTTGTTTTGAAAAGCTCTTAATACCATCGTAATTACTAATATTAATTTAGTTGATTGGGGTTGAACGAGAACCAGTTGCGCTTTTTTACGTGTAGGCGTTTTACTTTTCTCTTTTTTCTCTATTGTCAAGCTAACAGAATATTTTTCTTGCTTCGGGAAAATATCCACCCACGTAGTTAGCATAGTACGAATGAATGCACGAGCAAACTGGCTGGTTTAAGCTAAGCGCTTGCTGCTATAGATAGAGGAATGCCGTTTTGATGACGTAGTTCCCGTTTTTCTTCAATTTCGCTTGTATGTTTTTCTTTTTGCATTCCTCTTCTCTTTTCTATATTCAACTTTCGCCCGGAACGCCCACGATTGCTTTTACCCTTTCTCTATCGACAATTCAAGAACAGAGAAAGAAAGATCTCATTATTCTTGAAGGCATAAGCTCGACAACACGCACACATAGACACTCACATTCATCAGAAAAACTGTAAGTATACGATTTCACGTATTTTACTCAAACTACTTATTTATTTTGATCTATTCTATAGAAAATCAAAAATGCAACTTATTTTCATTCTTCTTGTTACTCTTATCTGTGGCTATTCATTGGTCAGCACTGCTCCTATTGGTCCCAATAATAAAAGTAAATATATATATATATATATTAGTATTAAAATAAATAACTATAAAATTTCTAGCTAATCCTGATACACTCGAAACAAAACAACAAAAAGCAACTGCTATTGCTAGTCGTCTCTTAAAAGAACTTGCTCATGAACAACATACATCAGATTCTGACGAGCAATTATCAACAAATGATGAAAATAAAAATTTCAATGCACCTGCTAATCATCCTGAAATAGAAAAAGCCGAATTACATTTGTCAAGTGAAAGTGAAGATTCTGCTGATGACGATGATGAAGACATTGATTTTTTACCGATAATTAATGACTTATATGACGTTTACGGTAATAAATACAACCAAGAACCTGAAGATGACGAATCATCATCGGAACTTGCTGATAACGAATATGTATTACCAATGACTAGAGAACAACTGATTAGATATTTTGCTGAAGAAGAAGACAGTATGTGATTAAAATTCTCTATAAACATCTTTTTTTAATCTAATTTTAATTAGATGATGAAAATTTACAACCGGTGATAAATTCGCAAGTAATGGATGACAGTATAATGGCTGCGGAAAACCATTGAAGACAACATCATTTAGTTTATTTAAAAAAGCAAAAGATATTATTTGTTCCATAATTGAAGATCTAATGATAATAACAGAGAAAAATGTGAACAAAAAAAAGCAGTCACTATTCCAAAACAATCAAAGAAAAAAAAATAATCAGTAATAAAAGAAAAAGAAATATATTTTTTGTTTTCTTCTATTTGATGTATATAACTATTTATGTTGTGTACGTTTGTGAATGTATCACAAAAAAAGACGAACTATTTACACCCAGCATGCTCCTCAATAAATCCATTCTAGTTTTTTCTATTTCTGTTACAATTTATTCTCCATCACGGCTACTTCTATAAACACGAAGAATATCATCAACCGGAGCTCGGCATATCGGACATTTGACACCATTTGCCGATGTCGATTCTCGAAGATTTAATCCACACATATAGCATACACAGAGATGACCGCAACGGTAAAGTACGGTATCAGCTATTGCATTCAAACATACTGTGCAATGTCCAGCATTCATTGGTTGACTTGTTGAAACTATGCTATTTGATGAGCTATTTGCCATAGCACTTGCAACTTCTTGACGCAGCGATCTTTGCATATCCATTTGCATGGAAAGCATTAGCTGTAACATTTGTTGCATGGAATCAAGTCGTGTTGATAATGCATCAACATTCGAAGTAGCCTAGAGAACAAAACACATTATTTATATGAAGAGATGAACATCCTTTGTTTGATGGAATGCTTACACCATGAGTAGTAGGCATCACTCGAATCGGAGCAGGCGCAGGAGGAACTCTTGGTGTTCTGACTATTGGCGTTGGCTGATCTACTTGTTGAGTTGGTGCTCCCTGTTCTAGGCGAGTCTGTTTAATCAAAATATGCATTTTTATATCGAATTATGATCGAGATGAAAAGACTTACATAAATGTTTTGTTCAAGATGCTGACGGAAATCGCTTTCTAGAGCACTTGTGACTAATTGTCGATGCACAAGATCACTAATTTCTAAAACGATGATTTCGCGTTGTAATTGAGTTATTGCTTGCCATGCATTCAGTTCACGCTCGTGTCTAACAAAAATAAATAATTAGTTCAATAGATAAATACACAACTGAAATAGGATCTACCTTTCAATATTGAATGGCTCATGTGTACGAGTTTGATTAATTTGAGATGGCTGTTGTTGTTGTTCTCTAGTAACTAGGAGTACAGGTGCCGGTAAATCTGATGAAATTTGTGTAATTTGAGCAGATTGTTGTTGTTCGACGACAGATGATACTAATGTTTCTGGTATAGGTGGTGCTCGTGGAATTTGTTGTCCCGATGGCACTGTTCTAGGTGTTATTGAACGTCGAATAGCACTTTCAAGATCTTGCCGAAATGCTACACTGCCTAATGCAGCCGATACACATCGGCGAGTCGCTAATGAATCAATATCATCGATATGAGCACTAGGCATAGCAGGTCTAGTTGATGGTACTCGGCGATTTTGATGTTGTTGTTCTTGAATATTATTTAAAAATGTTTCAATTCGTTCACGATTCGGTTGACCAGTAACAGGTCGTTCTCCTAAACGTATATGACGTAATTCAAACATTACTTCAGTACGTTGTCGTTCAATAAAACGTCTAAATGCATCAGCTTCAATTTCAAGTACTGAACGCGCTAAATCTTCATCACTTCTCGTGCTTGAACTACATTCTGATTCATAACCGTTTTCATGAACAGTGGCCGTCATTTGTTCATCTAAATCATTCAATATAAAGTATCCACAAATCATTGTTCTTCTTTATTCTCTACCTTTACTATTGGATGCAACTGTTTCAACTCTTTCTCCATCTTCATCAGAAGCTATATTGAAATCCATCATTTGTATAGATTCGTTTGACATTTAATAATAATTTTGTAAATAGATAACTATATCGTTAGATGTAAACACATCTATTATATATATATGAAGAGAGAGAGAGAGAGAGAGAGATACGAATATTTATTCCTTAGCTAGCTTAGTATTGCACAACAAGCTCTTGAAACGCAAAAAAATGAATCACTTGATGCATTTTTTTACAGTATAGTTTACTTTACTTTGACTATGGTTATCAAAGATGCGTCAATAGATGAGTGTGAGTCACAAATTAACCTTTGTACATAAGGATGACTAAAGCATCTACTTTAACCGTCACATGTCAAATGTAGATACTTATCTTACAAATCGTATTTGCTGATAAATAGGAAATGATGATTCACAAGTTAAGGTTCGAAACAAAAAAGTAAGTTATAACAACCTTTGGATGATGATTCGAAGTTCTTTCATAATGTTCGTAGCAAGATAATTTTTCTACACTTTAACTAGAGAGAGAGAGAACTAAAGCTCTTTCTCTGTATATAGATATGCAGAAATAAGGCGCTTATTTACATGGATTATAATAAGATATTTTTCCAAAAATAAACATGATTAAAATTAACGAATTCATTATGCATTTAATTGTTCATGATCGAATTTTTTCTGCTCTACTTGTTTTCTGTTAAACGAAACAACCTTTAGTACCGACTATGTTTAAACATTCGAAAGGTCCTTTAAATATGAATGGTCTATATTTATCAACATCACTTCATCATCTACATGATCGAAAACAATCTTGCATTTCTCAACAAAAAGATTTGAATCAAAATAGATCTCAATCGCCAATAGATATGAATGAAAAAATTTCAACTAAAAGTAGACATTCATCATCGTCATATACTTCATTAAGTTCTTATCTGAAAGAATTTAATTTAACTAATAAAGATTTCTTTGACTTACAACAAGCTCTTAAAATAATTTTTCATTATGTTCAATCTCAAATCGTCTGTGATCATAATAAAGAATTAGTTAAACAACGTTTAAAAACTCCGTATTTACATCAACAAGTAAATATAGATGATCAATCATCCTTACCACTTTATACTGATGAATGTTTCATTCGTAATGGCTTATTAAATCATAACTATGGTCCAGAAATTCATGATAGTCGTTGTCAATCAATAAATTTATGTTATTCAAATCATTCTAAACCTAGTATTCATTTACAAAATAGTTCATCATCATGTTATACATTATCATCAGCATCTAATTCAATGCAATTAACATCTTCTTTGAATATTTCATTACCATTGGCATTACTTTCTAATCAAAAACATTTATTTTCAGCATTAACAAATAATTTTACATTAGGCAAAGATCAAAATAATGAAACTAAATCGATGATTATTCGACGAAATAAAGTGCAAGCATGGGAAAGAGATAATACTTTACAACGAAGAACATCTATAGCAGACTTTTCAATAGAACAGAATGTTCAACTTAAAGCATCGGATCATCATCAAAGTACGATAGTTCGAACACCCTCGATTATAAAAGATGACAACATCGTAAAAACAACGGAAGACGTCATTAACAAGAATAGTATCTTGCTAACAGGGAGTGATAAAGAATATGAGAAAATTTTGGAAAATAAAAATATTGACGATTTATTTCCTATGGTCAAAAGACTTGGTAGGAAATGTCTTTCAAGACGTTGTTTTATTTTTTGAAACGATTCATTAAAGTGTTATTATTTAGCTCCGTATATCATAATTTGTGATGCTTTTCATCAAACTTCAAATAATAATGGCTTAAATGGCAAATTATCAATAAATAAAAATAACGAAAAATCAATGCAAGAAATCAATCATCGAGTGAAAGTGTCTGAAAAACGAACATTAACTGATGTATTAGATCCACAATCGATAAAAGTCAAGCGACAGTCACTGTTATTGTAAACTTCATTCATAATTAACAAGTTTCATCAGATGTCCAATAATGACAAAGTACAGTCACGAAAAAAAGACTGATTTGCTTGTTAAAATTGAATAGAATCTATTATGGAATATTTTTTAACCTTATATTATCGATCTCTCATTTTTTTTTGTCAATTACATATAAAAAGCTTTTTTCCTCTCTAATGTAACTTCAAAAGAGATTGATATACATTTAGCTTTTCTGATAGAATAGAATCAAACAGAACTTTTTTTGTTGCTTAAAATTTTCATAATATAAAAAGCGTAAGAAAGAAATATACGTAAACAGTTTTCTATGATAATTGTTAAGCAACATGAGGTATATGTGAATTTAACATTGTCTCTTCAAACTCTTGATTTTCTGTTTCATTTTCTTGGCGCAATGCCAATCTTAATTTAATTTGAGCAAATTTTGCTCCATAATTTCCAGCCCAAAATCTTTGATCTTTTCCTTTTAAAATAATTGATACATGAGAAGGCATTTCATTCGGGCGATAATTAACATAACGATAAATCAGACGATGCCATTGACAATCTCCATTAGAAAACGAACGCTGATATTTCCATTCGTGACCATTGGAGAAACACAATTCTAAATTGCAAATAGATGAGCAATCCCACCGTCCTGCGACACAAACTGTAAATTCAATCACCGGATTGATCGATATCAACTAAAAAATGAAATTATAATAAACATATATAAAGGGTAAATTGAGTTGTGATAAATAAGTATTGATAGAAAATGTTCTCTCTTTCACATAGATTTGACAGAGATACAGATAATGGATTTTTCTTCTTCTAATCAACTGACCTTTTCTTCTCCTTTTCTAAGTAATTGAACATTATCACGTTGATATTGTCCCCAAGCATAGGATGTCGCATAGCAGGATGAAACTAATCCAAATTCGTCGTAAAGAAGATCAGAGCCAACAGGAGTTTCCTCCCGACTAACATTTGGAGTCCAAAATTGGTTTACTTGATCTTGATTACTATTATTGAGATTTAAAAGATTATAATCCGGATGGAACGGATTTGAAAAATACAGTCGTCGAAAATCTATTCCAGTAGAAATCGCCAATGGTTCGTTACCAATCGCTACATGATCACGATGACATTTTTGAAGCCAAAATGTTGATGAACGAAGAAGATTATAAAAGCGACGGCAGACTAGCTCCAAAGAAGTCAAATCTTTGTAAGTATGACGGAGATATGGTTCATGCAGAGAATGAGAAAAATAAAATGTCGACGATGCAATATTATTTACATGATTGTAAGGTTCAACTGGTGGAGAATAAATAATTGCAAAAAATATATGTTCAATCAATTCATCAGGAAGACAATCAAATGGATTGACAGAGTTAGCAGTCATATCAAAGTTCTATAAAAACAATTATATTCTTGAAGTAGGAACTAGAAAAAGACGAAATAATAGTTTTGTCAGATGATTTAAACGAATCTGGTTAAGATGAATAACAGTTTCGTTACATGTTTATTTCTATGCCAGTTAAATGAATAAGATCGGATGCTTGCAAATTTTATTCATGACTCATGGATCATGAGTCAGCTGTGTACCATATTGGTTAAAAGGTAAGCCAATGCTGTTCCTACAAAATCTTGCACATTACGTTTGGAGATCTTTTTCCTTGGACATTAGAAAAACGTTTAGATTTGAATAGAACTGAAACCACTAATACGTATTTAAACTTTAATTTGCTGTTTTTTTGGGTGAAAATATTTTTCTTATGTCAGCATCTTGATCTTGACATTTTTTTATGCGAAACCGTGCATGATTCAAGTCAAAACTTGCTCAAGTTATTCTAAGAAAGCAATTATAAAACTTCAAAATATTCAATTAAATATGAAAATCTATCATAATTGAAATTGAGCCATATCCATGGGAACAATCAATCTTTAGACAAAAACAAAATGGTATGACACACTCCACTATTGTTTTGGTTGTACTGTGCTGTGCCTTTGAGGCAAACTTTAAAGAAATGATCACTACATTGATAAAAAAAAAGATAAAATAGTGTTTAGCCCTAAACTGGCAATCAATATCATTTATTTTAAGATTTACAACAGGAAAGTAATCAGAATTCTAGCAGAGAACACAGTTTTACAGTTATATCTATTTAAATGAGCTGTTATTTCTGAACTCTATAGACAGTTAAACAATAGACATTCTATAGTTAATTATATTTAAAAAAAGAAACAGTATCTTATGATTGATAAATTAGTCAGGAGTCAATTTTCATAAATAGTTTTTATTACAAATTATTCAAAAGAAAAAGGAAGATTGCTTTTTGAATAAGTGATTTACTACGAATGCGTATTAGATAGCTCTTTTAACATTGCTTCTGCTAGTTTGAACTTTTGTACTTTGCCAGTTGGTGTAGTAAATGATGCAAATGATTCAATTACTTTCACATATTTTGGTACCTTGAAAAAAGCAACTTTATCTTTTAAGAATTGTCTCACTTCTTCAACATCATTAATTTTTTTGCCTGCTTTTACTTTCACCCATGCACAAACAACTTCACCGTATCGTTGATCAGGTATACTAAATATTTGTGCTTCGGCAATGCTTGGATGTTCCATAAGCAAATTTTCTATTTCAACTGGATATACATTTATACCACCGACGATAATCATTTCTTTTCGACGCGATCGATAATAAACATAACCATTTTCATCCATCGTACCTAAATCACCAGTTTTCAACCAACCATCAGATGTTATCGTTTCACGTGTTTTTTCTTCATCTCTATAATAACCTAAATATCGAAATGAGTCTTGAGAATGTTTTTCTGTTTAGAAAAGACTCACCTTTCATAACATTGAAACTGCGTGCATAAATTTCACCTTCTTCACCAATAGGTAAGATCTTATCGTTTGCACCTACTATTTTCATTTCAATACGAGGCATTGCTTTGCCAACAGAGAGAAAACGAAGTTGTTTATTATCTTTAGCAAAAACACCCATTGCCATAGAACCTGTATTTTCTGTTTGACCAAATGCTTGACTCATCATTTTTATAGGAACTTCACGTTCTATTTGTTCCATCAACAATGGATTAACAGGAGCAGCAGCAATTATACCGAATAAAAGAGAACTCATATCATAATCTTTCTTTTTCGGATGTTGAAGAAGATCACAAAAAATAATTGGTGGCCCAACTAGTGCAGTACATTTTTCTTCTTGAACAGTTCGCATCGATTCTATTGTGTCTGGTAAAATTCCAGGAAATGCTGTAAAATAACCTGGTGAATTTATATTCAAAGTGCCTGCTAATTCACCGAATATATGAAACGTTGGAACTGGACAACAAGCACGACTCATCAATATTGGATCAACATAATAGAGTGGAAGGCTAGAATTTAATCTGCCAGGAAATAATAAAAATAGAAGATCCTTTTTGAACTTCTTAGAATACAAAAATAAAGAATACTTACAAATTGAAGTTTGATAATGTAGCTGCTTTAGGCTGCCCAGTAGTGCCTGATGTGTAGAAAATAGCTAGTGGAGTATCGCCATCTAATTGTGATTGACGTTCTCGTAGTTCTTCTTGTCGAATTCCTGCACCTTTATGTAAAAGATCACTAAACAAGTGAATTTTTGCTGGAAAACGACTTGGATTTTCATTGATTTTCTCATCATTACCAGTTGTTAATATTATGTGTTTCAATGTTGGTACTAATTTGGCATTTAATTCGCCTTTCGTTTCGACAAGTTCAGGTACAATTTTATGTAATATTTTCATACAGTCAATTGTCTTTACATTAGGTCTCATTACTAAACCTTTACAACCTACTTTATTAATACAATAAATTAATTCACGTTCCATATAAGCAGGATTGATATTTACCTAAATAAAACATAATGAAATACCTATGTACATATATATAGGTCGGTTTTTCTTGAAATAAATTACTTTAATCAAGCCAACTTTCGATGTAGCATAACTCATTATACAATTTTCTGATTGATTCGGTAGCCAAACGCCAATGCGATCACCTTTTTGAAAACCAAGTTCGATAAGACTTGTTGCGAAACTATTGACTTCATCAAGAAATGATTTATATGTATATCGTTTATTTCCTTCACTTTTAAATACATAGCATTCATGGTTTGGATAGAGATCCGCAAGTTTGTCTAAATGCTGCCCAACTGTATGATAGAAAAGTGGTAATTCAGATGCATTATAATAGTAACTCTGAGTAAGTTTAGATGATGGAGAAAACGACTTTGTGTCAAAAGATAAAAACCGTGAAGAAAATGTAACCATCGATGAACACAATGATCGATTGAACATCCATGCTCGAGATAATCTTGCTAACATTTTGACAATCTAAAATAACAAGGAGCAAATATGAAGGAGTATTTAATGACAATTTTGTATTTATGGATGATTTTATATGGAAGTATTCTATTGAGGATCGTTTTATAAAGATAAAAGATTAGAGGGAACTAAAGATCTTTTTGTATTCCTTTCTCATAGCAACTACAGTAATAAGAAGGAAGTTTAGCACATAGAAAAAGAGATCTACAATAAATACAACGTCGAGTAAAATAACTATGAATCTCTATGGTTACAGGTGCTTCTTTTCTCTAGAGATCCATCTATAATAATCTAGAAAGATAGTTATCCTGAGCAACTAAGCAGGCAGTAATCCAGTGTATAGTTTAGTTTAGTAAGAGATTATAAGAATACTAACAAGTAACCTCACAGAAAAATCTCTTTAGATTAGTGTCCTGGAATCTTGAACATGATTTTTTTTAGAGACGAGAAGATAATAAAGGTAGCTATCTGAAACTCTTATGAGAACAAGTTTTAGTTGATTTGATGGTTTGCTGTCGAATGATTCAAAAGTTGTGTTTCAAAATCATCAAGCAAAAATATATGATATGTTGCATGAGCACTACGTATTATACAATACTAAACTTATTGAATCAAAACAAATTATACAAATGATAAATTTTTCTTTCACACAACAGAATCTGAAATTTTGAATAGCCCGTGTAAAGCTTAGTTATCAATCTCATGGTTATTTGATGTCAAGTTTTCGAATAATTTTTGCTCGATCATGATTTAGTACTTTTAAATTAAAGTTTCAAATAGTAGCAAATAAAAATCATTGTTTTACTTTGAATATACTGATTGTAAGAATTATAAAGCATTCGACAGCCTGGAGAACATGTCAATATTCTCAATAACTATAAATTACGCTAAGCCAATGGATAAAAGTCGCTACATAGAAGCTACTTTCTTTGTTTGTTAGCGTTTATGTATAGGTTGGAGAGAAAAAAAATAGAAGACCACAGGTAAATTATGTCAGAACGATTTCATTCTAATTTATTTTGTATGTTGCACAATTAACCTACCTAGAATGGGGAAAAATAAGCGACTTAAGTCTCGTAACCTGGTCGTAAGGGTATTTTTTATCGTTCTATTGCATATTTACTTACGGTATTAATCTTAATGATTCATAACACCCTATAAAAAATGAAATAAAAAACCATGAGGGAACAACAACCCTGAGAAACACTTTTTTCTCTTATCTCTGTTCTATAAAAATGTAAAAGAGAATGCGAGCAGATAAGCAGAACATATTTGAAGTAATTTTGCTGTTGAATTTTGAAATAAGAAAACTATATATATATATATAACAAATAGTTAATGATCAGTTTACTTCTCAAGAGAGTTAGAAAATGGTTCCTACGTTGTAGAATATGATTTTTGCAACATTTATGTTCAAAAACTAGACATTTAATTGAAATTTATACTAGAATATCATTGTCGAAAGATTAAATATTACTGTTGTTAGCTCTCATTTTGGAGATTATGTAGCAATAGAAGAACTAATATTTATTCTGCCAAAAAAAGAGAGCTAAACATGTTTCAATAATAGACTTTGTCGTCGTGTCATATATAGAATATATTGAGTATCGAGTATTCGATACAATAGAACATCCACAACTGCGCAATAAAGAAATACAAAAAGATAATCACGAGATGAATCATAGTTGAGAGATTACGCAACAAGTCAAATTAGAGATTCAAAAAATAGATAACATACGAGAAACGTTTAGCGTCAGTGAGTGTCATCTACTGACGCTAATAACTACTGTTACATTTAATATCTAATTCAATTCCGATCACACATAAAATAACGATTTTGCTCAAAAAATAAATTATTGATATCCTTTTGATAAATATTTTATTACTGATTCTTATGTGGCTCGTCAGTATTTAGAATAGATAAAACAAAACGATTCAATATCTTTTGTATATATAGAAACTTTGAAAAAAAAATTGCATTTTCATGATTAGAGCCCACGGGAAGGACCTAATATTGGAGGGGGGGGTGTA